AAAAAGACCAGACCCCTCCTTTCCTCTCTCTCTCTCTCCTCATCCTCCTCCTCTTCCCTCTGCCCTTCTCTATCTATCTCTCTCTCCCCCCTCTCCATCACCCCCCCATCCCATCCTGACGGTATGAGTCACAGACAAACCAGTTCCCTTGATGCACTGCGGAAACGTAATGTGACGTAGCCTCCATCGCTCCCTCCCTCGCCACACGCGTCCCTCGATCTCTCCCATTCATCCGTCCGTCGCTCCGTCCCATTCATCCACCTTCTCGTCACAGCACAGCAAGTCTCCATTCACAAAAAGCCCTGTAAGCCGAGAGAGAGACAGTGTTATACCAGTAGAATATTATGCATTTGCGTGGAGGAAAATAATACGGTACGAAACAATAAATTAAAATAGAGCAGTTCAGTAGCAAGTAGAGGTAAATTATCAGCACTTATATTATGACTCTTTACCAAAGAAATGACTGTTAAGGAAAACTGTTAATCTTGCCAAACGTGATGAGTATCTCCGACTCAAACATGAGTTAATTTCACCCAATACTTTTGAGTTTAATGTTGTGCAAGATTTATTGTTGCCATGGCTACAATATGTGCAGTCAAATATTAGCTAGACTGCCAAGAGCACTGATTTGTAACAGTAATTAAAGTGTTGACAGGAAGTATGTTTGAGGTGTCCCAATATATGATAAAAATGGACAATGCACAATTTCAAACTGTGAGTAGAATAGAATAGAAAAGAAATATAATTAACTATGATACGATATACAGTATCATATAATACATATAGTCTAGTCCAGCATGACACATTGTAATAGGTGGCAGTAGGTGGGTTCCCATCCAACTGTTTCTATGTGCATTTTCAATTTGCCAACTAGAGAATTAGTGCCTTGAGCTGCTACCAAACTCCTATGCAATGGTAGTGGATGGAAACACACATTTCACATTTTCACATTACATTAAGATACATTGTCATTTACACCAGAATATAGGACAGTGCATTCGGAGCAGCAGGAGGATTATCATCACAGCTTCTAACAAATTGTTTTAAACAACATGCAGAAGTGATAAGTATCGTAGAGACAAGAAAGCCAGGTGACTTGACACTCGTCTCTGACATCACTACAGGATGAAGTCATGGGTAAACTCGTCTCTCCGGGTCTGATACAGCGGCATGTCATTAACAATTGGCATTCACAGACACCCTTCCAGGTGATAACACAGACAACATGACGGATTTGTGTTTTATGACATTCAGTAATGTCTGCAGAATTTAACTCGTCAGCAGTCTGCGGAAGTAAGCAGTAAAGTGAGAAACAAGGGTCACTTTTCATATTATAGACTAAATAATGCCACCCAGCGAGAAACACAGAAGGAGAGATGTGATGACATTACAGTATACCGCCAATGGATGATTACCAGAAATGCACTGGAAAACCATTTATGTGAAAGTTGCAGAATTTGGATACGATACATTTAAGGTGAGCAGTGACAAGGAAATAGAGCCACAGCAGCCATGACAAATGTCTCAGTAGGGTTAAAATTATAACATAATACTAAGTTAAGAAATACAGCAACTAAAATGTAATGCACGTTGGTCTTGCATCTTTGGATATGATGTTTAAACTTTCAGCTGCTCTTCCCTCAGATGCTTCTGATTTTAAAGACCTCAGTTAATCTTATCATTAACTGTACTTTTTACACAGAGATATAAAAATTGTACAGTATGAGCTGGTGTGATTTTGATTGAGTTTGAAAATGCAAAATTCCTCTGAAACTGAACAATCCTGCTGACAAATTGAGGATTATTTAGTGTAATATTAAAAGAAAATGCACAAGAGGGCTGTTTAAATAAGAACAGTGGTTTTTCAATTGTGGTACAGCGGAAATCTGTGTTTGCATGGACGGCTGAAATACATCATCTTTCCCCCGAATGTAATCAGAGGACCTATCCGAGTGCTTCTAACCTCTTTGATTACGTCACTGGATGTATGTTATAACAGATGACATCACTTAAGTAACCTACCTACCTAATGGTCACAGTCATCACGGACAAATGATTCAGCGACTTGAGTCTGATTTTACGAATGAACGGCTGACGGTTTGCCCTGCTGGTTGGCTGAAGACAGGAGCAGAGAAAATCTCAATGTACAGTATGATTCACCACAACAAAGTGTTAGGGAGGGGGGTGGTGATGTCATTGGTGGTGGTGGGGGAGTCATCTGTGAGTCAGAGAGGAAAAAGAAGAGGAGGAGGAAGAGGAGGAAGAGGATAAGGAAGAGAGAGAAAAAAAAAAGGAGTACATGGGGAGGTGGGGTACCTGCTGTGTGTGACCCATGGTAACAGGCAATGCTGGCCTGCGGATGACTCACCACTGCTTTACCAGCCTCACTCTCTCACACTCACACACACACATATAATACACAGGGATGCTCACCACCATACGCCATCACACAAACATGTAAAAACACATTGTGCATGCACACACAGCCTGTTTTATGGCATTAGAAGCATGTAGACTTCAACGCAACATAAACACACATCGCCTACAGGATGCTTGCACACACACAAACACACACCACATGAAGTGCAGGGAGAGGAGGGGAGGGTCAGGATGACTCACACATCAATGATAACACCCCTCCCTCTACCCAATCACACACACACACACACACACACACACACACACATAGAGAGAGAAGAAGGACATATCATTTGGATGCAACCCACATCCTCCCCACATCCTGGGGAACCTCCCATCTGAAACTCAGACTGACAGCGGGAGGCTCCGACTCAATGCAGTTTGTCTAAGGTGATGGGAATTCTCTGGTAGGATGTTGTAACTTTAAATAATTGAAGATAACGTCAAAATGTGAGAAGTTGGCAGTAGGATGTCTTTTGCGGCCTCGAGGTCTCTTGTCCTAAACATGCTCATCTGCAAACATCAGTATATTATGGTCAGAATCAATTTTGGTATCCTATTATAATTTCTGTACAGATAAGACTTCAGTGGAGATGATTGATATCCTCCAAAGCACATTATTTGTATTTTCTATTCTAGTTTATACCAGACTTAAGACCGCATTTCCCAGAAACCCCTTCCTGTTAACAGAAATGGATCTTTTTTTTTTTAAAGGCAAAGGATTCATTTACCTTTGTGTTACAGAGGCGGTTAAACATGTTACAAGTGATTTTTCCATCTGCCTCTCTGAAAGCTTTTCTCCAAACGGCGCTCTCTCTAACTCTTATTAACTCTACAAGCTGATGTTGTGTACTACTGTGCTCTGTTTGTTATTATTATTAAACATATTGTACGATTTTATCAACTATCGTAAAATCACTTTGTCGTTTCATAAAAAGTTTGCCTAACAGAAGCCAAAGTTTGTCTCTTTGGAAAGATGGCTAACTCCCAGGCCTCTCTGTAAATCAAAAAGTCTCCTCTTATCTTTTGATAGCTAAAACATGCAAGCCGTGCAGGCACTTGGCAAGCACACATAATTCCCATCAATTACTCCAAGAAATACTTCCATCTCTGTAAATCGGGGGCAGCTGACAAGACACAGACAGCTCTTGGCACAATGGAGCTGTTTTATGAATGACATCTGGATAATAAGAACACCTGCACTGGGTGACCCTGCTGGAGCAGAGGAGGGATGACGTTACGGAGGGATTCAAGTGGACTGAGGCTGAATTTGTGTAAGATGTGGACGATAAGGAATTTTGTTGTTTGTGTGCTTTGCCAGAATTTACAGCTGAAAGACTGTCATCGGTTAAACCCGTCTGCACCTGGCAAAATCAAGTTTGTTTATCCAAGGTCATCTGGTGACGTGGTGCTTCAGTGGACCGGTGTTGAACGGTCTGGAATATGACCTTTGCCCTACTTGTCTTTCTCTTACTCCCATCTTTATGGGCCATTTGTGCTGTATTAAATATGAGAAACAAACAAAAAAACTAATTTAGAATATTAAAATAATGAGTTTAAAACTCAGACAGTTCAAAGTTCACATTTTCAGCCCAGAGCTACTGAACATCTGTATTTTCTGACCGACAGCTGTTTCTATTTTTCCAAAGGGCACACTGCAGAAGAAGAAATGACTTCAGGAAATCCGATTTTTAAGAAGTTCCAGTCGTGCAGCAGCACAGACTTAAACAAAAGGCAAAATCTACAGTTCATAAGAGAAACATTTACTAAAAATGTCAACCAACACTGAACAGTTGCTTTTCAGTACGCAGTAAATTTATCAGATTCCGTCTCCTTTTCCATTTAATCTCTAATAATCTAAAAACATTTGCGTTTTTTAAAAAGTATGAACTTAAAAGCAGGAGTTTTTCAATGAATATTCCCTGTATAACGCACAGTTGCATGCCAGAAGGCTGAGCATACCTTCAGACTTAAACTGCATAAAAGTCTGGTTTGCTCGACTTCTCTGTTCTGCTCTTGGGAACAGTTCGTAACCATGAGCTGTAAAATAATCATTTTTAGTGAATTGAGAGTGACATTTTACCCTGGTGGCCTGTGAAAGATGAACTGAATGGAGCCAATGTCATGTCATCTGAGCACCACTAGAGGCCAATATCCAGCTAGGATCAGGTGGGGAGGCCTGCGAGACGATGTGACACTGTGACAGTAAAAGTTTCCAGTGAAACCAAAGTATGTTTCAGTTGGTGTGACATGTCTTCCAGGTGTGGTGACCTTAACTTCCTGTTCCAACTGCAAGGAAAAACACAGCTGACATGTATAATTAGCCACTACCAGTAAATCATCTCGATTCTTGCACACACACACGCACACGCGTGTCTCGTGTGTTAAAATTAGCACGGCTAACAGTATGTCTCTGGTCAGTAATTGAACATCACGGTCAGGGAGGCTTCCTCTCTCTCTGGATGACTTAAAACTTTCAAAAGCCTCCCCACAACAGCCATGCTCAAAAATACTAAGCATGGTAGATTATGTTTTTATCCCAGTTCAGTTGGATCATCAGGCTGAATTCAAATTAAACTTGATCAAAGTCCAAAAACTATTTATTATCCACTGACAGAACATTATTTCTCAACCTCAATGATACAACTCTCCTATTCAGGCGTTTTGGAAGTAAAACCACTCTGGAACACCCGGACTGAAATGTTTGTATGTAAATTAATTTGTTCAATACATCTTAAACGATCAGTCTATATAATAGAGGGAGGAAGTGGCATCCTACTACCTGAATAACAAGCATAACTAAAAATGGCCGTCGTGTCAGGTTATATTTTCCATATTATTTTTTTGATAGATAGCTCAGCACCAAAATGTTCTCTTACAATTTAATTCCAAACATTTTCCAAGCCAGATACTTAAAATTCTTGCAATAAAAATAATCATTCCACTTACACTAGAATGAGGGTAAATAAAAACAATGACTCTTAATATTTCATAGTTACGTGAAAGAAAAGTCTCTGCTCTGAATTAATATATTCCTTGTTCTTCACAGGGCAGGGTTTCCAAATCACATCTGGCGACACAATCATTCCATTTCCTCATTGGAAACCAGTGGGGTGCCAGTGACTAAGATAGGGCGTTGGAATCTTTTATTTGACCAAAACTGTCCGTTTACACATGTGAATCCAGTGACAGAGTAGCAGCTTATTCCACCCCCATCACTGTGCCCTTGAGCAAGGCAGTGACCCTCAGCCTGCCCCAGAAGCTCCGCTCCTGGATACCCTGGGCATCACTGGACCTTTTAAGCCTCTGCTGAAATGCGTGTATGGTAAATAAGGAGAGAACATTCCTGATTACAGTGAGTGCATAGACAAATCTTAAACACACAAGGAAAAGATGCTTTGGGGGAAAACCTGGCCCCTGATCTTCTTTACAACTGATCGTCAACCTTTTTAGCCCCTGAACCCAAAAAAAAAGCTAATGATTTTCCCTTTTCAGCCTTGTATTACCTGAATTATATACTATTTCACAAGGAACAAAAAGTATTGGTCAAAAAGGTTAAAAACACATTTAAGTGATTCTTGAAATATATCATTTCACATCGTGTAAGTGTAAATGTAAATCAACCCATGACCCCAAAATTGCCCACTGGCCCCTGCACTGAGAATCAGTTTTCTAGACAAATGACTTCATCAGGTTGAAGATCGGTGGAAAAAAATAATACAAACAAGCCTGCCCCCTGGTGGCTAAACAGGGGGACAGTGCATGCTGCTGCTACCAACAGATAGTAAAATAGTAAATAAGGCATTAATTTATACATCACACACTTCATAATTGCAAATAGCACTTGACAGTTCACCACTAACAACTGAAGGGTTTTACAGATTTCTCAGTGTATACTGTTTTACACCAAAAGGGGACTATAGACATATTGTCCAAATCATGTCAAGCAGAGGAAAAAAATGTTCCTTTCCCCTGTTTTGATTGAATAAAGCCAGACAGTATGCCTCATTGAAAGAGAGAAAAAAAAAGAGATGATGGAGAATGAGGGTTTGCCAGCTCAGTAGATGAAGAGGACTCGGGTGCGGGGCAGGGTGGAGAAGGTGTCAGCCATCTTGCGGATTCTGGCGTAGTTGATGAACCCTCGCAGGAAGAGCAAAATGCCTGAGGAGGAGAGGAAGAGGAAAGAGGAAAAAAGGAGACCATGAGACTGACAGAAGTGACTAGTACTACAGCACATACACAAACACACACAGTGGCAGCAGCAACAAATGCGAGCAATGCTCTGACGGGGTTTTTAGGTTGACCAATATAAAACCTGATAAAAGAAATATAACAAAAACCAAAAAGATAAAACTGCCCAAGATTAAAGTACTTCCTAATACACCCATACTGATTACAGGGTAAACAGAGCAGATCTGGCTGATATGAACTGAGGTAAAACATAACTCAGTGAACTGGTTTGGCAACATGTGAATGAATGAGTAGTAACTAGGACACACTTAAACTAAAAAAAATTGCTTGAGGTTAGCGAAGACAATTTGGGACAAAATAATTATGAAGAGTTGCAAAGTAAGAACAGTCATTTCAGGAGTGACTTGCTTGATTTGTGAGTGGAGCAGTTTAAAGCTTTGGAAGAGGAATGAAGCTCACCCACTTGAATTATCGTTACAAAAAATGAACAACTGCGTTATAAAATATCTGGTGCTTTGAAAATAAATTAAAAAGTATTAAGGTTGTGGACATTGTGGACAAAAAAAAAAGTAGCATAAATACAGAAAATAAAGACTGTGATACCCATGGTGCATTTCGGTTAGCAAAAGCTTCTAAGAAATGAAATTGAAATAATTAAAACAGAGAAAATCCTATAGTGATGTTAAACCTGCACTTGGCCACTTTGGGGAAACTCAACCTGCTGTAAAGACAATACTGACCTGTTCTCCCCCTTTTTTGATTGATTGATTGATTGATTGATTGATTGATTGATTGATTGATTGACAGACTGTAAGTGTAAAAATATTATATATATATATATATATGGTTGGAGAAATTAAATTTTTATATCGCTGTAATAATTATAACTGATTATCTAAAAGGATAATTAAGGTTAACTATCCTGCTGTAACAATTCACACCCCAACACTGTAGCAATGGAGCTCCAGAGAGCAGAAATGTGTCACAAGCAAAACAAAACTTTTCGATTCCCTATTTGATTCATTTAAATGCAGAGGTTGGCTACTTACCAAACACCAGAAACACCCACCACAGCCAGTACTGTCCATCAAAGTAACCAGGGAAGTATGTGGAGAACTAGAAACCCAACAGAATGACAGAAATGACTGGTTAGAATAAATATGGCCTGCACTGGCTTCACTCAAATGAGTCCTGCATTTTAAAAGTGAATGAAGAAAGCAGCCGACTTCTCAAGAAATCTTGAGGAAATAACACAGTGCCAACAAGCCAACCACTACAGACACAGCATTAAAATACCAGAGTGCTGTTTGGGGCTTTTGAGTTGTTTGTGCGTACATATAACCACATTTTATGTGTTTGTGTGTGTGTGTGTGTGTGTGTGTGTTCATACCCGGACTATGAGGATCCATTTGATGAGGGAGAGGCCAAAGCCTGAGATGGCCCCATAGCGGCCAGCTGCGGAGGTGGTCAGACAGAAAGACAGGAAGAAACCGATCCAGTTGAAGAGGAATGCCACTGAAAGGAAGAGTGTTAGACATGCCATCAGAAATTTAAAAAACAGCCGCGAGAACGCAGGAAATATTATTTCACTAATTTTTAGCCAATATAAGAAAAGACATAATTTCTGCAGAAGGTAAGGTAAAGAAGAGCTGAAGATGAAAAAACATGTTGAAGAAGAGAAAGAGAAAAACAGAGACAAGTAGATTGGGTTACTAACTGAAGAAAGTGAGCATAAAGATGCCATCATTTCCTATCCTCAGCTGATCAGCATCTTCAAAGTCATCTCTGGTCACAAAGTCTTCATCCTGTGATGGAAAAAACAACAGTAGAACAAAACAAAAAGAGAGCAAAGTAAGTTATTTAAGCATTGAAACAGTCTTTCGACAGCACAGCCAGGCAGTAACAGAGCTTCCCAGGGCTTTATTTTATTTGAAATGATCTACATACAGATCTATCAGATCGATTTATTTGATAAAGCTTGGCTTATTTTAACCAATTCACAACTGTGTATTTAAAATTGTACTGATACAACGCAGTGACTGAAATCAAAGTGAATGTGATCAAGCACAGAGAAGCAGCTGCTAGTGTAAACCAAGCTGACAACAGACAGTAAATACAACACAATCAACCAACAGACCAACGGAAACATCACAACACAGCAAGCCTATATAATGACTATCACTGTCACTTTACCCGAAGGTCTGGAGTCAATCAAATACAATGCAGGAAATAAAGAGAACCAGTCGATCTTGTTTAACTATCAACTATGCACTAGCTAGCACTCTAAATACACAAACATACAAGGAGGGTGGGGCTTTGAATACACAAAAACTGTAGGTACATCTGTGATTTCACACACAAAAGCAGGACCAAGTACACATCCTCTCCTCATACACCCTCCTCCCACTCTTCCCAGTTACCTCCAGTGAACTGCGAATTACATCGTCAAAAGTCTCCAGGCGTTCCCTGTGCTGAGGCTGCTGCTGAGCGCAAGGCAGTGTGTGGCAGAGAAAGACAACAGCAGCAATCAAACAACGTGCAGTAAGGCACAATGCATCACAGTGACCACTAGAGGTCAGAGATTAGTTTGACATCAGTGGCTAAGACTTTTTGTTTCAGTATCAACTCAACTCAACAGAAACTGTTTTTTTTTTTTTTTTTCAGGACACATGCGCTGCCAAGTTATGCATGAATTTCTTCTGCTGCTGACAAAGATGGAGTGGCACAGAGATGGCTTTTGTGTACGAGCTGGGAGGTTAGAAGTTATTGGCAGGCTGTACAGGACGAGGTGTGCTTTGCCTTTAGTCAATAAAAGAACTACAGTTACTGCAAACAAGAGTTCTCAAAAATAAAGGTCAATAAGAACATGGTTCCCTGAGCAAAGGTGTCATTAACGATTAGGCAACTTCTAATATGTCTAATTTCAAATACAATATATTAATTAACATTAACTGATGTAATTTTAAAAAAAATATATATCAGATAAGAAGGTGCTTTAATATCACCGAGTGGCAGCCATGGGAAACTAAAGCATGAACACCCACAGCTGATATAGAGAATAATGCCATGGCTGCATTTCATAACAGGTTTTAGTGTGCCTATCAAACATTTCAACATTTTACACTGGTAAGTAACCACACCTCCATCTCCATATAGAAACTGAATGGATTTATTCAAGTTTTGGGGGGAAACAAATCCAGGTGCACTGTGCACACACGGTAGGTTCAGGGGGTCTGGGAGACTGAAGCATTCAAAATATAAAAGGCTGGCACTGACACACAGAGAGACAGAAAAATCATACTCTGATTATTTTGGCAGATATTACGATTGCAATATGAGTCACGATTTCAGATGGAATGGTCTTTTTTGCATTTCATTTTCGCTGAAGAAAATACAAAAATGATGATTTTTTTGTTAGGGCTTGTACCAAACAAGCATGTTCCTTTACATCTGGAGAATATGGTTTGTAGGCCGGGGAGTCTCTGTAGCACCACAACGCTTTATTTATGGTATGTTGTGACACATTTTATCTTTATCAAAAAATTGCAGCTCCTGCAATTTGGATTTCGATAATGTTTCAATTTATTGTTCAGTCCTAGTGATAGTAAATGGTTTCTCAATTTTTGAGAATCTGCAGTTGTTCAAACCAGTAGCAGTTCATGCAGGAAAGACAACGATATAATCAGATAAGTAAAGAACACACCTAAGGCAATACAAACAAACTTGCTGTGGTTGGGCTCTGAGCACTTCCTGCCTTGCAGACAATACAAGAAGTATTTGAGCACAAGCTGCAGCGTGTGTGTGTGTGTGTGTGTGTGTGTGTGTGTGTGTGTGTGTGTGTGTGTGTGTGTATACAGCGAACGTTACAACGTGTTAAAAGGCAAAAAAAAAAAAGCGAGATACTCACTCTTCCTGTTACCAGGGGAACAGTGGTCTCAGCTTTGGTTCTTTCTGCTTCATCATAGGAAGGTAGCGTCGTTGCCACGTTGTATGATGGAGGCTTGGGGAAAGCACCGTCTTCCTTGTAGTCAAAATAGGCTGAAGAAGAAACAGTACCGTTACAAACATGAAGACAGAAAGCTTACTAATAAAAAGTCTTGTTTCAAAATGATTGATTGTACCCACAAGTGCCCACTGACTGTATTTTCAAAAACAAACTAAAGCCACTACTTAACATATGTTCTCATGTATTCATATACAGTAAGCCTTTGAAGTGTTTAATAATTGCAAGCAGTGGAAATGGAAACAGGCTTGAGAATTGGAGAAGTATGAATTACAATTTCCTACTTATCACTACTGACAAAAAACCCTTCACAAGATTACAATAAAAGTGGACAAAACTCTATTTTTGCTCACTGACAAAATGTTTGACTGCTTGACAGTGTTGATGAATTATTTTCTCAACTAATCATATTGTCTATATAATGTCAGAAATACGTAAAAAAAAAAATGCCTGTTGCAATTTCCCAGAGTCTAAGGTGATGTCTTCACATGGTTTCTTTTGAAGGTTTTACTTTTATGGCTTCATAATCATCAGCTAATCATTAAATTGACTAATGTATAATCAACAACTATAACTAACTTTCTAAAATGCCTTTTCAAAGCAATTAGTTCTTCTTGAGTGAGTGAATTCTGTGTCTGGTATTTCATCTATTTTATTGTCTTTGATAAGGGATTAGAGTAATCAAAACAACTATGAGGTCCGAGTCATCCACACAGGGTGCACATTAACATAGCCATTATTTCTTGAATACATGTTGCGTTTATTTATCCTTTTGGAGCTGCAAACTGTACACTACAGTTAAAGTAATCATGTTCCCTCAATTTTTCCCCACGCAATCAGACACAAATATGAATTTCCAATGTGCCACCATTGTCTATGACCTCAGAACCAGAGAAACATCTGGATGAGTCATGATCTTACCAGCATTGTCAGCTGTGATGCTGCTGTACGGGGGTGGAGCATCCGCTGCTACCTGTGGATTCTCTTCTGGGTCTTCCTCGTTCGGCAGCTGTGGCAGGTAAGAAAACCAGCATATGTGTCAGCACTTTTCATTGGAAATAGAGTCTTTTAGATAAAGAAGCTTCACACAGTTAAATGATTATTGGAGCACCCTTAAGGAACTTACACACAACGCATCAATCGATCAGAGAAGAGGAAGGTAAACTGGAAACCACATCAAAAAGTTTTTTGCGTGCATATGAACATTAATAAGCAGAAATGAGCACCGACCACGTGTTTCTCTCGCAGGAAACACATTAGCAGCCCAAACTCATAAAAAAAAAAAAAAATCTCATCATAGTTTTGTCGGTCAACTCAGACATTGAAAAAGTCACACTCAGCTATTCCTGACTCCTGATTGAGCTCAACAAGTTTTTAAAAACCAAACACTTTTGATCAATTAACACTACAGTCAGTTCCGAAGACAAGCCACTGAGGTGGTACTCAATACCTGGTAGTAAGTCTGCACCAATGGACTTACAGAGGTGTAAATTACAGGTTAACAACACCTTTAGCTTCCCGTTGGTAACATTTTATTTTGCAGGTCCTATAGTTGCCTACAATTTTCTAGAAAGGAACTGATATCCATTGGTAAACACATAGGATCGCATAACGGAGAAAACAGGGACAATGGTGACAGGCAACTGGTACACTCTCAAGTAATTCATACCAATTAATTAACTCCAATTACTTGCTAGTGTAACCTAATGAGTCCTTTAGTCAGTCAGATCCCCTGAACATGGAAAAATATTAAATTTGGCAACAGGCATGTTTCAACATATTGTATATGGCTAAAATAGAGGAAATTCCTCTGGAAATAACAACTGTGCATAAAGCCAACTTAAGTAACTTGTTCATTTTTGCAATAGTAAATAAAGTAGTACTTCCCAGGAAATAATCAAGAAGATCAAGATTCCCTGGGATAAAACACTAGCTACACATTTGTACATTCCTCTCCCAAAGCCATTTTAGGCTTCAAGGACTCTGTAACTTTTTCGTAAGAAAGTTAGACTGCGTTTTTATGACTGTGGTTTAACAGTTTTTTAGAGAGTACATGGTCAGAGTACAGCTAATACAATAAAGAACTTGGAGTGACGCAACGATAGTATCAGAGGTACCCCTTAATACAAGCCTTAATGCAGCCTTTTGTCCTCGGACACTCGCCACATTTCTAGTCATCCACAGAACTTAACTGGCTTTCTACCAGAGTAGTCTCTAATGCGTCTGCACATGAATTATTACTGCAATCAACCACATGAGCAGACTTATAATAAGGACTGTCTGCCCTAACAACATCTCCATAAGCAGGTTAGCTGGCAGATTTGGCAGTTAAGCTAGATGATGAGCGATCACACCCACTGCTGTAGGTCATGTGCTATCCAAAAATTAACATTTACCAGCAGTGCAAAGTAACTACATTTATTCACGTATGTACATAAGTACAATTTTAAGTTGTTTCTGTTTTACTTGAGAATTTCCATATCATCCTATGCTATACTCTACTCTTCGGAAATTAGGTTTCATTTCTCGTAATCATGCTTGTGCAGCAACATGTTTCACACGTCTTGTTTCAAGACACAGCTGATGTCATTAGAATTAAAAACAGGTTGATGAAATAGTTCTGGTCACATGTTAACCCGTGGTTTTTAGGACACAATTATAGCTAGAGATTTGCACTTTTAAAGATTGAACTGATCAACAGAACATAAAGTAGTTAAAACAACGACCAGCTACAACAAAATAATACCACTTACACATTAATGTACCAATAACATTTATACGGTAATATAAACAAAGTCCTTATACGCTCTTTTATAACGTCTCTGACATACTCCGATATTGAAAGGAATAATTCAACTATACTTTCACTTTTGATACTCATACTGAAATACTTGTGTATTTAAGTAATTTGAATGCAGGAGCTCTTCTTGTAACACAGTATTGTTACACTGAATTATTATGTCTTTTACTTAAATAATGGACACTGACATTAACATAAACAAATATAACTTTAACAAACATAAATTGTCTTAGAAAGCGTTATTCTAAGAAGACTTTGTTGACAAGCTTTCGTGACACATAAAAACTACTCATACTCCTAAAAAAATAAATAAACAAATAAAAAAAACGGAACCGACACGTTCACAAACATTTAGAATTTAATAATTCAATAACTAAATAGCTAGCTAACACGGAAACGTTAGCGTAAGTGCCGCTAGCATGCTAACACCTGCTGATGAAAATAACGATGTTTCTGGCTACAAAATTGACCCAGTTGACAACAATACTGATACTCAGCTTCCATGAATAGGAAACCGTCGTGTTTACGGGAGTGACACCAACCTAACGCCACACACCTGTGTGGCTGTGTAGCTTCTTTAATCCGCTTCACGATACGATTGACGTGTAATGTTAAATCTTTAACGTGCTGGCTTGCTATTTAACCAACGGATGGCATTGTCGTACCTGCTGATATCTGGCGGTCGGTTCGGCCATTCCGGGTTTGAACGGCTAGCAATCAACGACAGGAGAATAACGCCACCAAGATACACCAGCGAAAAACGAAATTATATAACAGTACAAACTGTAAACTCAATCCTTGCCACAATGAACAGCTGCTTCTCCCTCGACCGATCACACTGCTGTCAAGCTACAGTGAGTAAGTATGAAACACACGGCTTCCTGTTAGCTTTTTTTAAATAAAGCCCATATTGAAGACCACTGCTGCAAGACAAAGCTAAAACACAGCAACTGTCTCACCTTAATGCAGAAAATATTATACCATGGAAATGTATATTACCATTAAAAAAGGTTAAAAGATAAATAAATAAATAAACAAACAAAATTTATTATTGACCAGACAAAAAAACATATTAAGATGTCACCCTGCGTAACAGGAAATCATAAAAGGTATTTTCATAGTTTTTCATTGACAGATAATAGAAAAATAATGAAAATAATTGTCAGTTGCGACCCTTTTTTCAAATATGTTTTACAGTAACATAAGTTGCTGTTAGCACTCACTAGCCCAATAGCTAAAAGGAAGAATTATATCTGTCCTCAGATACAACCCTAAAACAAGTTTTATGTTACAGCAGCACAGAGACAGGTTAAGTGGTAAGAAAAAGCTATTTAAAAAAAAAAAGAAGCTATTTTAATTAGATAAGATATATCAAAATGTTAGAGAAAACAGTTAAAATATAAAATAAGATTAAAAAAAAAGCTACAATTAAAATAAAATTATTTTCACAAGTAATTCTCAGGCGCAATTATTATCGTACATTTCTTTCTCAATAAGAATGATACATTTTGTTTTTTAAAAAAGGGTGGGGGCATTTCTGATGCTTTTATTTTGAAACCAATACCTACCACTTCCTGTTTTATTCTCGTTGTTTTGAAGCCGCTCTCGCTCGAAAGACGATTGACGTCATTGCTCACAACAAACCGTCCACCGCCCTCAGTTGAAATAAAATGAACATCATTGGCAATGTTTCACGCAGCATTAGCCAGGAAAATTAAAATAATACTGAATAAATGTTCGCTGCCACCGAAAGATAATGTAAATTTTATACTGGAACAATTCTTCAAAATAAGTTTGTACTTTTCAGGTCCTTGACCTGAATACACATGTGAACCCCAGCATTAGTCAACTCTGTAATCAGGGATCATAGGTAAAATATTTGAAACTGAGTGGATTTATAATCCCATACTAACAACCATGTCACATTATCTAACACAAAGCTGTGTATATAACAATTAAGTACTTTGATCTCTTGTTTTTGGATACATGGAGAAATGAATAAGTAGATGAGCAGATTATTAAAAACCAAATAATCAGAATGACAGCATAACTATGTTATGCAACCGTCACTTGTACTTACTAGTAGGTTACCTACTCTAATGAAGTACATCGTATAGAATTGTACTATACCAATTTGTAGACACATACAAGGAAATAACTGCACAAACCTGAGGGTTAAATGCATTTTATTGCTTGTGCCTAGGATACTCAGTCTGAACTGAAACTGACTGAGATCAATAACCCTCTTCAGACTAATTAAACATTTTTAAGAGTAACTCATGAATATCAGTAATTACTGGATGAAATCCTTCAGATACACACTCAGCATGGGCAATAAAAACAAAGACAAATGCAAGTGGGTCTTGTAAGGTTTTATTGTATCTTTATCTAAAATAAAAAGGCAACAACAATACCTATGACAGTTTGTATCCAAGCTCAACCGTTGGAGAAGTTTTATATCTCAGATTGATTTCTACGGTAAGGTTACTCATGGGTTCTGGTACCTGAGGAGCACAGGGTAAGTGGTGCCTATGTGCTTTTGGTTGTAGTGGTGGCAAACAATCTCCACGTCGTAGAAACTGAACTGGACTTTGACGCGCTCATTGGGTGAGGTGAGGAAACAGAGAGTGTAGAGGGCGAACTCAAACTCTGGACTGACGCCGATGAAGATGCTGCCCTTGGGCTTTATACCATTCTTCCAGCTGAACTGTAGTGCCAGGATGTGTTTGTTCTCGTCGGGCTGCAGTGAGAGAGAAAAAAAAAAGAAACGGCAAGTGATGAAAGAGAGGATGAGAGAATGGTGAGAGATGGAGAGACAAGAAAAAGCAGCTGCGGGCTCAATCTCATTATTGTGAGGGGACAGCGAGAAAGATGTGAGACTGAAACAGGCTTATGCTGTTCACAATCAGCCAGGCGTTATCAGAAAGATATTTTGAAACTTGCATGAACAGGTGGTAAAAGTGAGACAAGAAAGTAGACTTAGAGAAATTAGACACAGACTTCCTGTCCATGTTTGACATACTTGTACTCACTTCCTGAGCAAAGATACTGTATGCAAGCCCATTTATGCCAAGAAACTTACTTTTTATCTCCTAATTTTTACTCCATAAGTAAAAAACTTAAACTTATAATTTTGAGTTAGTATCTCATCAGTTGGACTTTTTATTTTATAATTTTAACTAAAGTCAAAATTTTTACTGACTATTTTTATTTATTTATAATGCATAACTTTTCATCTGTTTTGTCTTCCTCCATCAGCTAGATTCAATGTTAGATTCAATGTTCAATGCCAGATACTTTGGCATGCAGTAGGCTGCATTATACTTGGAAACTACATAGGGGAACAGTAAAAATTAAGAAAAGTAGAATATGAAAATGATGCAACAACATGAGACTGAGACATTTTTCTATGTGGAAGCAAAAAATGGAAATATGTGATAACTCATTTCAAATAGTCACCAATAAACCTGGCTATAATGAGTAAAGACTTCATATTAAAAAATGTATGTACAGTTTGTAGTTAACTTAAGAATTTTTCCTCAATATAAACACTGTGATTACACAGTTGATATTTAACAGGCAACAAAGGAGAGTTGTTGAGCAATAAGTGAGAGAGCAAACAAGGCCGCAGCAGGAAGAGAGATTTCTCATCAGTGTGCAAGAACGATGATTCAAGAGCAAGATTGCAGAGAGTGCAGGTCAACTTGGGGGAGTAGACGAGAAAAGAGAAAATGGAAGACAGATGAGAGGTTCGTCAAATATAGATGGTTGTGTGACTGGGAAATTTAAAATCTGGTTGTTTAAACAGACACAGGGGGATTTTATTCTATATTATACTTATGTATAATATAGAAAGTACAATTAATTCTGTTTAAGAAATCTCATACAGATACAGCAGTGCTGAAAATATATTCTTAGTCCATCTCAAGTCAGTATACCTTGGGTGAATTTGCATTGACGCTGTAGCCTTTGTAATCGATGTGTCCCAGCTTCTCTTGTAGGTAGAGCTGGATCCAGTTGTGAAAGCCGATGACAGTCCGTCCTCCTCTTGTCTCTCCTACAAACACATGTTCAAACCCTGAAGAGTCTGGCCTGGTGGGGAGAGAGAAAGGAGCACATCACACCGCAAACACATCACAAAAAGTGTGACTTCACCAGCTTACAGTCATGCCCCCTTATAAACTCATAACTCAGCAGCTTGGCGTCAATGCATCAGTTTTATCATGCGCCATTCAGACACAATAAAGTGTGTAATCCTGAACGTGCTACTTTGATATTGTTTCACTCACAGCGACGCTGGCTGGATGTATTGCACAGAGCCAGTTTCTCAGAGTAAGACAGTTACCATCAGAGTGCCAGATTCCACTGGCAAGGTTATATTTAGGTGCTGTGCCAGATTCCACCAACCTGCTGGATCCTCTCCTCGCATAAAGTTCAAACCAGATCCTGTACAGCTGCTCCTTGAACTGTGTCTCATTCTCAGGAGAGAGGTGCTTCTCTACCAGGTATTTATGGGCTATCTGCAAACAAACAATGTTGTCTAACATTATTTTGCATATCAAACACCCCAAATTGATCAATACTGACTTGGGTCATTTGTCCCGGCCCCGTTTACTATCATCTACATCTGCCTTCTTGTTTTGTTTATCAGTATATCAGGCTTACACCTGTAGGACAATGTATAGAACATTTTTAACCATTCAGAAAATGGACCAGACCCATTCTAATATAGTTTTGAGTGATAAAAGTAATAATTTAGTCAGGGTGAGAGTCAGTTTAATTGTATTATATGAATAGTTAAACAGCTGAGCAACTCCTAATTAGTTCCCATCAATTATTTAGTGGAAATGGGCCTTTATGAGGCAGGGGAAGATGGAATGGGTTTATTTCCAAAAGTCCCCAAAGGTACCTTCATGGTGGGAGTCTGAATGATGGAGTCCAGGAACTTGTGGTTCTCTGCCACCTCCTCGGGGGTTACAATTTCTGGCTCGCCGGTGTCACTCTCATAGTTATCCAACAGTGAGATAAAGGCTGTAGACACAAACACAGACACTCCTCAAAAAAGGGATTTTTGCGCAGTCAGGGGTAAGAAATGATAAAAAAAAAAAAGGTTTTCAAAACATGCACAATGTTGAATCCTAGAAACATGGATATATATAGAGACAATTATGAAGACAATTAAGCAAAGCTGAATATGGAGACCCCCAGCTCATCAGAGTGTAGGTGGAAAATGTCTCAAAACTGAGATTGTGTGTTACTTGGGTACATTTGGCATGAGAAAATTCTCCACGACTCTTCCTGTTTTGTTGATAGTCTGATACCCTGTTTATGTTTTAGAATTAGATGTTCTATAAGCTGGTGACGCCTCTTTGACTGACATGTTCATTTTTTTTATGTTTATATTTACATTTTTTCACTGTCACTTTTTACACGTGGAATAAATGTACTCTTTTTGTGTCTTTAGAACCTGTTTCATTTTTTTTCCAGTGTGCCAGTAGTTTTTCTGTTAATGTGATTTATTCTGGCCACACCTGACACTTTATTTTGAAAATCCTGGATTCAAGAGCACAAACCCTGTTACAAATCATGAAAAAAATGTGCCTGCTGTGCAACCAGGTGACAGACAGTGACGCAAGTTGCGAGAGACTGTGGACAAACTAAGTACAAAAATAGCACAGAGGGAGGAATCCTCCTTTTTTTTTTCTTTTTTCTTTTTCCAATGGGACATCAGCCTCAGACTGAACTCTTAATACCCTCTATTACATAACTCTCTATAGAGCTCTGTACTAGGGCGCTGCTTTCTCTAACCTGCTGCACAACATAAATCTGAGACAAGGATCATCAGGAGGACATGTTCCTCGGCAGGTATCATGCCAGCGGTTGTAGAGGAGCATCTTTCTGCATCCAGCACAGTGAATTCTGCAGACTCTGTGATTGTTATGCAACATGCCAATGTCGGTCATAAGGAGATTATGAGTCAGTGAAAAAGCTTTAGTCTGCAGGGAGGCGACGGAGAGGAGAGTATCAAACTGGCAAAGGGAGCGGTGGAATGTGCGATGAGATTATGATTCAAACATTTTACGACAGTGCAGTTGTGTAAGAGACACTGACAAACCATAGTGCTACATCCAGAAGAATCCAGTTAGAGGCTGCCTCATCCCACAGAAACAAGGGAAAACCACTGAACATTAAGGCATTACAGAAAGAAATAAAATGATTGTGATTTTGAAGCTTATTAAAAAAAAAAAAAACCTACCTAAAAAGGTTTCCTTTTTGAAAATGTTCTCGTTGACGAATGTGAAAAGAGGATATCCTGCTCCATCATTGTTGTCGTTGACGGCCATGCTGTCTCCAGCTTTGCCCTGCAGCAGGAAGAGAACCACTCAAACTTTAAAATAGGTTATGCAGACTCATTGCTTTCTGCTTCCCCATAAAAACGGTATTCAATAGATGATCTTCTAGTGTGCTTCCAGTGTGACTGAACATGTTGATTCAGTCAGAGCTCATTTCAGAAGACGGATGTATTGCCACTGACAATAACTAAACCACTTAAAATATGAATATGGAACCAAACATCGATACTCCCCCGAAGCCCTAAAATGGTTCTGCCACCCAATCAGGTGTGGCAGTTTAGATTAAGACCCATATAATTTCCCATAAGATCCTTGTTTCTTGTCACATACAGTAGATGTTTTTTTTTACTTTTACAATAGGCCATAGGTTTTCTCTTTTCATACTGGAGGGAAAGTATAAACAAAGTGAATGAAATATAAAAGCTTTGCAGTGGTAAAACAGCACCCACCCTCTGGTTTGTGCTATAAAGCAAACTAACAGGTGTCACGGTAAATTCAGCATACAATACAGTTTAGAGGCCAGAGCACAGATTTTATTCACTTGAATTGTATTGTCTTAAAATGAGGGCTGTGGCTGTTTATTGAAGTTGCATGCATGTTGTTGTGTGTGTGTGCGCGTGTGTGTGAGGTGCACCTGCAGAGAGATCCTGTAGTCTTTTCCAGGTTTGAGTCTGTTGACATCGTTGTCCCATAGCTCCTGCACCATGGCCGACAGCTCTCTGTCACTCTCAATCATGATAAGACTGCTCGCTTGTGTCTTTGTGGTCCCGTGGCGGAAGAGCTGTGGGTTGTTTTGGTCTCAGTATACGTCTCTAAGGGGAGAGAAACAGTTGATGAGGTTGTGTCTTGGACTGGAAGATTTAAAAATTCAAAATAAATTTATTGATCCAAATATTTTCTTTCCAGGCCTCAGAAATGAGAACACCTAATACAACATTTTTTCTATTGACAATTTATGTTACATCTCACTAATCTACTGACCTTTAGTTGCACAGACGAGAACTGGTATTCTCACTCTATATATTCAGGTTTCCAGTTTGCAAGAATATTCAGGAGGAAAACAGAATGTGTGAGCTGTTGCTTTTGTACTTGCACAACATTGTATACATATACATATATATATATATATATATACATATATATATATATATATATACATATATATATACATATATATATACATATATATACATATATATATATATATATATATATATATATATATATGATTTACGGTGTCAATTTTCCATGAAATGTTTCAACAAAACCCCGAAATAATCTGCTGTACAGATTATCACATGGTAGGATGGGCAATTTAATCATTTAAGTTTGCTAACTTTGTTTATAAATCCCCAAAAATAAAAAGTAAAACCCATTGTAAGAATTGTTTTGGAGTTGACTCAGCTCATGCTTTGTTAAGGAGGTTTGCAGTTCACACAGACTCAGGAACAGCAGTCCTCTCAGTTTCATTGAACAGCATGTATATACAGTATGTCAGGAGCCAATCAGCTCTGAGTGTTGACTGGCACATTGGTTCCTTTAGTTAAGTCTGCTAGCTCACTCCAGAGAGTTCAATGGATATGTTTGGGATAAAAATTGTCATTCTGGCTGGATAGTAATGTTTGATGTTGATTAATATGTGAGTATGTTTTATATTGTAAATGTGGGATCAGTGAGTGTTCAGTGTCTCACGTGTTATTTGACTTAGCAGACAGTGCCTGTAGGAGGTTGCCTAACATGCAACTTGAAACATATTTATTCTTTTTTTTCTTTTTTAGTTTTTAGGATTTTAAGTGTAATTAACTGAATTTCTATTGTTGTTATATTCTAACAAATAAAAATACAAGAAATTTGTCCATTCACATGCTTGTTCCCCCACAATATAATATCAATCATTTCACACATGATCACAGAAAACTGATTCACAAGGCTACCATGAAGTTAACGTTGGCCTGTGATAGTTCAAAGCATTGTAAAAACATAACAGCTTCCGCATCTAGGCAGAGTTTATTCACCCGACTCAACACTCAAACAGCGCCACTACCATTGCACTCCACAAAAACATGGCTGACAACAGACCACACATCCATGACAGTGAGATCTGGGAACTTCATCATCACCATCCAAGCCCCCCACCCCACCCCCCCTCCCCATCCAGTCCGCATCCCATCGGGCACCACATCAAAATCCACTGACCTTTTTTTGCTTTGTAAAAGTCTAGCCTCGTCCTGTTTTTGTGGTTGAGTGAGGTGAAAACGGTGATGGTTAAAGGGTCAGTGAAGTTCCTCAGGGCTGGTCAGGTGCTGCTGGTGCTGCTCTCCTGTGTTTGTGAGAGCAGGTGTCTTTAGGGGCATACTAACAGTCCAGCCAGTCAGTGTGTATGGAGAAAGACAGGCAGGGGCTGGGGGGGCGGACAGAGAGCACGAGGCAGGGGATGGGACAGGACAGGAGAGAGGGGCCATTTTAAAGGGTTATCCCCTGTCAGCAACTCTAGCCAAAGGGATTACACCATGTTGTCGTCTCTTTTCAATCTCAGGCTCAAACGTGAGCTCTTTGTTTCTTTAGTATTTCATTGTTTCTCTCTCTGTCACAGCATAACCTCTGGATTAGAGGGTAAATATGGGTCATGTTTCAGGTAACAAGATGTTGTAAAGGAGAGTATACTTGTAGCACTAAAGGGAGCAAATGTTTTTTAATCTAACAGAACATAATCAAATCTTGATTAGGACATATACCTGTTTTGTTTTTTTAACCCATTTTATTCAAAATAATTTGAACTCTTAAGACTAAATGTTTGGTCTAAATTGAGGAAATTTAAGAAAAATCTGTTAAAAAAAAAAAGGTAGCGACAATATCTACACAAAACCAAATTTAGGAGAGGCCGCATATCAGGTTTGACACGTCTTCATTCATTTTAAAACTTTTGAATTAATCTTGACATGTTGATGTGTTAAAAAGAGTTTTGTATATTCCCACATTAACAATGTATAACCATTTTCATTTGTTTCTAATTGTTCTTTTTTTAAATATTTTTGAACTGAATGCCATCTTTACACAACTATTAAAAGAGTGGAAAGTGGCTGGAAAAACTCATTGGCTTCTCCTTTCCTCATGTAAATTATTGATTGTATTACTTATGTGAGAATAAACACTTATATAACATTTAACAATAACAATTTTTACACACACCATTTTGTCAGATCTGTGAGTCAGGCATCTTTCATCTCCTTAAATGCCCTTCATGTAGCATTATCTCTTATTGCTGTCTATAGCTGTTTTTTTTAATTGTTGAGTTAATAGTTAAATTAACTCTTGACTTTTTTTTAACTCTACATGTATGTTTACTATATTAATTACTGTGTTGTACTTTCAATGACAACTTAGAGTTGATCTTTCACTGAGCAAATTGACAATTTGTTTGTTCCTGGCATGAAGTAAAATTCAAGTAATTGAACTTCATACTTTTGTGAACCCCATTTCATTTTTACATTTTTTGTTCAACTCTTCTTTATGGAATCTCATCTTTTTCTGAAAAGAATTTGAATTTGTCATCCAATTTTGTTTTCAACATTCCACAAATACTTCCAGTAAAATCCTCAACAGTTCAAGTGTGTTTAGCTTGCTGTAGCTGCGTAGCTGTGCATCTATACCCACAGTGCGGGAAGAAGAACTATGTTGGCACCAAAGTGCATTTTTTTAAGTTTCAGATCCACTGAATAAAATAGACATGTTAAATGGTAACATTTATTGTGAGGAACAGTATGTTGAATGCATTTTAACAGGATTCTGCGAGTCGTGTATTCAAACGTTTCTTACACGAGACATGAAGTGACGGTGCGTCTACATTGACGGGAAAAGTGAATCCATGTGCAGTTCAAGACTGAACAAGAGATTGTCTTTTTACCAGTGCAGACCAGCGTCAATTCTGAGAATATTCTGCACTTTTCAAGCCTTAAGAAGCAAATCATTCAACATTGAAAAAGAACAGATTTGATGTGGGGTTCAATTTCAAACAGAACTGCTTGCATGAGAAAGTCCTCCTTCTGATCAAATTTGAATAAAATAAATTAACATTATACAAAATAATGTTTATATCTTCAAATGATCAAGATTTCATGGCCTCACTTTCAAGTTAATATTTGGCAACATAATAGTATCAGTTGTACAAAGGAAGGTGTTAATAAGTCTAGTCAAAATCATCCCTAAATATCTTTGCTGTTCACCAAGAGAGGATTTCTTTTCTACCTCACCATAACCACAATCTCAGTAACCCAATTAGAGGATCTGCTGTCACAAATATTTACTGCAGTGTCCTCCATTATTACATTCCCCACAACCAATCTCATACAAATCCTCTTCCGAACCTGCTTGACATTTACCATAAGATGTGCAAAAACACATTTCTGTAAATGTCAAGAAAAAGCTAATCTAAACATAATTTTCAAATAAGAAAAAAAATTACATCCCCAGAAAAGATGACACCAGCCTGAAAATTTTACCTACAGATCACACTCTGTACATAGCACATTGTGTCTGTCTGAGGGAGATATTAGGTTCCCTTTCTGGTAGTCAACCAAAACAGCCTAAAATAGAAACAAAAACCAAACCTCTGTTTTGCGATTATGTCCAGGTGACAAATCTCCAGTTGTACCTCCATTATTTTAAACCTGCATCATTATTGTATTTAAGTGTGTCGGTTAGATCACGAAATTCTCTTCATCATCCACTGATGTTCATTGCAGTTGGTCAAAAGAAAAGTTGGCCATCATACTTTTGATATGTGACAAAATGCTAGCCAGAGGGTAGATACTTAATATAATGAGCAGGGCACTTCATATGACAACGAAGGGCAAAAAAATCAGTCTCTCTTTTCCCTGCAACACCTCGAGGGTATAGTTCAAAAGTAAACACTTCCAATTTACCAAACTTAACTTAGTCAGTGGCTAAAGGGTTGTAAGCCTGCGAGGTGTTAAAACTCATAATGAAACCTATGTCCAATTAAGAAGAGAGAAATTAGATCTGTAGACATAATCTACTGTAAAAAAAAAAAAGACAAATCCAACCAATTTTTACAGTTTTAAAAATTAAAAGCTCAGTCCTATGACACTGTCATATTTTAAGGGTTTCAAAAACGTACTGTATGGCTGGTCACTAACCACATATCCAAGTATGTATCTTTGATGGTCATAACCAAAAGAGTGTATTTTTAAGGTTACCTGAATGACCACAGCTGTTTCTATTTCGACATAAGAGCAACTGTTCTTGCCATTCCTGATCTCATACTTCATATACTGTCTGTCATATTTTAATATCTGTCGTATATTAATAATGATCGATTTACATCCAGGCTTTGAATGTTTTATAACCCAAGATGCCTAATGATGTTAAAACATAAACAATGGTACCGTGGTACATGGTCGAGGGGACACTGTTGTGCTACTTCAGGCGTAGTGTGTGTCACGGGTGAAGTGATGGTTAAGTGAGTTAAAGTGCATTCAAATGGAGCATATCGCGCTGAGGCACTGCACAGGTGTCAGTCCTCTTCATCACTCCAGAAGGCATCTTCTTCGTCAAGATCCACACCTTGGAAGAGTCTGCAACAAGCAACAAAAGAGACATTCAACCATTGCCTTACAGATGGATCGGATGTGTCAGTGACTGAAAAGAGAAGCAGATCACTCACTGGTTGTAACAGGGTGAGTGTGGGTTGTTAAAGTGACTGTATGGGTTGACTCTACTGAGGAGGCCCAGGCACAGCCAACAGAAGTATTGTCTACACGAGGTACAGGTCATCTTGTTACAGCCATCCACTTTCTAGAGAGACAAGGCATTAGCAGGAGAAGACTCAGACATCAGTTAACATCAGTAGTAACTGACATATCCTGGGACATGAGCTACAGTAGAGAAGCTTTTTTAACAGCTAAGGGTCACTTTGAACAGAAATGTGCAAACACCTGACTACCTTTTTTTTTATTTGAAACTGACAGAAGTGAACGGTGCCCCACCTGTGACAATGTTCTACTGTACTGTTACCAGCAGGGGGAGCCCTACCTGTATATTGGTTCCACAGCGAGGGCAGCATTTGCAGTTTTCATTGAGCCAGTCTCTGCTAAAGGACTCTTCCACTGCTTTCTGGATCACCCTCTTCCCAAAGCGTTGCTCCATGAACTTTTTCCCCTCAGATGTGGCTGACAGGTACTCATCTCTGAGGTTACGCAATTCGTCTGTGGCACAAGACAGAAAGCAGGGACAGTCCTGGTTTTAACCCGAGGACTCAAGGTTGGGATTGATAAAATGTGATACAAATTTATTTCTTCTGTATGAACTGAACTCCTAAACCATTCCTTTATTAGTGTCTTTCTGTAATATTTGACCATTACAGCATCTGAAAATTTTGTATTATTCACGATGTCTCAACTCGACAAAAAACTTTGTACAGCATTCAAAACCAAACATCCCGACTTTAATTAGTTTTCAGTTAGTTAATTGTTACTGAAATGTAATATATTGAACTAGTGACAATGACGAAGATATAAAAATAAAAAAAAAACACATATCAATTAGCATTTGAAATTCATTTCATTGAAGTATTAACTACTTTAGCCTTAAAGAGCTGATCTCAAAAATGTCATTTTAGAGTAACTGAAGAGTATTTGGATGGTTGTTATGGGGATTTTAAATTCATTATCATAAAGCTGCCTGAAGAAATACAAAGCTGTCATCCGTCAGGGCCATTAAACTACAACACAATCAAACACCACCAACAAAAAAAACTATTCTTTTCTTGTTACCCTTAGAAACAAAATTACTATATTTCTAGTAACATTACCTGCTGGGATTTTACAGTTGGAGAGGCCGTGATAGCCAAGCTTGCACAGTGTGCAAAAAGCATACTGGCAGGCTGAGCAAATGCCCATGGTTGTGTCTGGCTCCACCATAACAGCGGTGCCGCAGGACTGGCGGGGACAGTAGACCACGTCAGCCATGAGGTCCAGACTGGACTGGAGCAGCAAACGGTCGTAACGGGCAAACAGCTCCTCATCCACCAGCTGCTTCACCTGAGAGACAAAGACAGAGAAAAGGAAGCAGAGGATCAACTGGTTCATTACAAATGACAGGGGTAGGAAACTTCCCACTCTTCAAAGCTCTCTTACCTGCAACGGTGTGGCTAAGGAGGTACATTTGGGCTCAGGGCAATTAAGGCACTGAACGTTGCCGTCTCGTATTTGGATCTGGAAGTATTCAGTCATGCAGGCCTTGCAGTAAACATGCTGGCACTCCTTAAAACAGAGGCAGCTGGAGCCCAGCTTCTCTACAAAGCAGATCCCACAGCAAAACACCTTGCTGTCAAACACCCTCTGGCGCTGCGCCTCGTCAAAGTCCAGGAGCTGAGGTAGGAGGTCGGCACGCGGGTCCATCAACAAGACAGCTCGCGGGTCCAGTTGAGAAGGTGACGACAACCGTGGTTCAGACTTTTCCTTCTTTACGTTTTCACTTTTCTTCTCCTCAGTGTTTTCAGAATGACTCCCACTCGTCAAAGCTGAACATAATTTGTTAACACATCAATCAGTCTTAAAAAACAATCAGAACGTGTTTTCATTGAGTTTCTGCACAACTACGATGACTCTTAAATATCACAATTCATGCAATTCAACCTTCAAAAACGGCTGTGTTCCTAAGCTTTGCGTGCTTTGATCAAATAAAGCACTTGTTTGAGACACCAGCAATCATCTTGTAACAAACAAATGAGGCAGAGTGAATAAATGTTCATTTCTGGTGATGAACTCAGTATCAGCCAATCTACTTCACAGGACAACAGTAGTAAGAGAATAGGGGGAGAGCACATTTGTAATTGTACTGACCAACTCTTCTTTTCAAGCTTAGCTCTAAATGACATAATGAAATATAACAATCTAATTTTTACAGATAACATTCTGGTTGTCTAAACTTATGTAGATGCATCCATACAAGCAGAAAAAAACTATCTTCATTTAACAAAATGTATACTGTACCTGTGGCTGCAGGGTCGGTTTTCCTGCGCTCGCAACCTGCCTTACTTCCTCCCCTGATAACTTCAAGAGGAGACTGAATGCACAGAAAGTCCAGAGCCTCCTCTTTGAGGAACTGGATCCACGTGAAAAGGATCACACAGCCTTGGTTCTCCTCCCATAGTTCATCCAGGCGTCTGCACAGAGAGCTCATCTGAGGAGGTAAAATGGAAAAGGAGATGGAGCAGGTATTGAGAGTGTCTGTCTTTTGAGTGATAGCATTTTACAAAGGACAATATATATCTTTCTGAGAGTGAAGCCTCACCAAAACTTTTGGAAAGGGATGCCATGAAGAACTGCCATATTGGCCTGAGTGTAAGACGGGGGGCCATCTTATTTTCAAGGACTTGACAATGCGTATTTACAAAATCAGATATTCTAGCTGGTCAAGAAGGCTGGGTCTGTGCAGGAGTCTGGACTCACTCGGGATTGTTGTGGAGAGACGCATGCAAGGTAAGATGGAGGCCATCTTAGACAGTACCAACCACCCTCTCCACAACACTCTGGCAGGACAGAGAAGCAGCTACAGCAGCAAACGTCTCATCTCACTGCGCCGCAGAACAGAGAGGTTCAGGAGATCCTTTGTTCCCACTGCCATCAGGCTATACAACTCAGCCAAAGGAAGTGGACTAATTGAATTATTATTATTCATTTATTATTAACTGTTATTATCATTATTACCAATGAGCTACTGGACACATGAAGGGGTAAATAAAGTATCTATCTATCTATTTATTGAATATTGAATGGAGAGAGCACCAGTGTAACATGATCTTCTACAGAAGAAGATCATTTTGTTGTGAGTCTATCAGAGTCACTCAGCCATAAACATGTTTTGTTTGCCTTGACAGGAGAGAGTGTGAGTATATGTGACAGACAGACAAACTACATAAACATGGGTTTTAAATATTACTATATTTCATGTTTAATTTTTACCAAAGAAAAGACTTAAATGATGTGGATTATCCTCTCCTTGGATTAATGGTATATCAAAGAAACCATCCCAACTGTATTTCAAGCAAAACTGTTTCCTATCCTCAAAAAATCTTTTTTGCAAAAATAGATGATGGACAAGGGGGAAGAGGGGTTGTCTCTCACATATATTCTATATTTAGGCCAATTCTTACCTGTGCTCTGGTCACCCATTTAGAGCTTAGAGTGAAGATTGGTGAGGATGTAGATGGATAATCTGCAGGAAGCTCAAAGTTGAGCACCAGAGGAGGTAAGAAGCAGACATTATATTCACTTTGCTTCTCTCCTGCAACAGACGGAAGAGATGTAATTACATTCCTTATTAAAGTGTGTCTAACAAATATGTCTTAACAAGATTAAGACAGAAGAACTTTATGAAAATCATCTACAGTACTGTGTTAAAGTTTTCGGCCCTAAAAGTAAAGTGAGGATTTTTTCAAAAACAGTGCCTCCCTGCTATTACTGTATGATGGATGCCTGAAACTTTTGCACAGTACTGTACTGTGTGGACTTAAAAATGATTGAAAATGAGCTGTGCATGAGTTGTACACCTTGCTCTTATGGCTTTACACAGTTTCACTCACTGCTTTACCTTTGACAACAACTTTGAAATCAGGAGGAAGCTCCAGACAGAGTTGGATCTCTCCCCCCTGTGCCGACTCTGCTTGGCGGAACTCTTCCTCATCATAGATACTTGCTAAAGCAAGCAGCTCATCCTCCTGGGCTTCCTTGTCCTCAGACATTTACATTCCTGCAAGAACAATGACATGCGATATAAATTCATTATTAATAAAGTATAGCAGTAGCAACACATGGATGTAGCAAAGCCAAATACATCATCAGAGAGAGCTTTACCTACACATATCAATACAAAAACAAAAGCATTATTTGACATTAGAACCTTAACACTCTCACAGCATTGATTTGATCAAAGGTTGGTTAATTATTATCTTGGAGTTACTCTTGAGTGTACTTACATCATTGATGAACAATGTACCCTAAATTGGTAGTCTATCAGGTATACTTAGGTAAAACTACTACAGTCGAATACATCAATCCTGCAATAAATCTTACCTTCAGTAGAGGTACCATTAAGTATAACACAAACAATTCAAGAGCACAACACAATACATCCCCGAGTCGAATCAACACTTCTTTAAAATAGTTTCAACACATACTTCACATAATAATCTTCATGAAGACAGGTTTTATTTCAAGACTGCGTTATTATACTGCATTGGTCGTTGTTAGTTGTAGCTAATAAACTCATTACTGAGTGTATCCACACACGACTACTGTAACTTTGTTGTGACTTAACATCATCTTGCTGTAGCTGTCTTTGGGCTACAAGGTAGCCCCAAAGCTAGCATGCTAGCTAACATAAGTTTACTTTACTCACATTAGACGTGGTTGTCGTTTCGTGACAATCGAACAGTCGCCTAAATTACAGTGGCTATTGTTGTGGTCGTCTATCGGCGAGCTGGCACTGCAGGCAGACTTCACGCCAGGAGATAGTTAAGCTAGCCAAGTAGGTAGGCAAAAGCGTTCAAGCTAGTTAGCATTGTTAGCTAATGTAAACAGCGGCTATGGCCACAGTCGGAGCACGGCCCTGCTGTAACTATTCTTCTCGGTAGCACCAAATACTGCCACCTCTCCTGAACTACTAATCAAAAAGGGTGTTATAACCTGTAATAATGTGAAAACACTGCATTTCTTACCTTCTTACCGACCCACGTACTACTGACTTCTGCCCTCTGACCGGGTCATGACTGTAGAAGCTGTTTGCAGTGTTGCCAGGTTTGACTGACAAACAGCAACCCAATCAGAGCCTAGACCAAGTCGTCGTAAAGGAAGCCTTTAAAATGTTGATTTCACTGTCATAGAAAACTAGCAATAATTCACATTTGAAAAGCTGGAACAGGTGAATGTTTGGGATTTTACTTAGAAAATGAGTTTACTGATGAATCGGTTATCAGATTTGTTTTAAATTCATTTTCTTTCAATCGACTACTCTGTTTATCAACTTGTAATTTCAGCTCTAGAGTACTGGTCTGTTTCTGGGAAATAATGACAGTGTCATGTAAACTACAGTTGGAGTCAATAGGGGCCTCTGTGAGGTTAATCTGGCTATGCACAGTCCAACTGTTGATTCCGTTGATTAGCTGCCACCTGTCGCTGTCACCTCACACAGTATCTTCGCCTGTTGTCCCTCCCTCCACACATCCCTTACAATTTGAACCTCTTACATAAAGCCTTATCGATATAAAAACTAGCCCAAATAGCAGCAGTCCACCCAAATGATTTTTTATAAGTCCATTTCAATAAAAGGTAGCTCAACTGGGCGGAAAACAGCCCAATCTGGCAACACCGGTACTACAGCTGTAGTAGCTGTTTCTCTCTTCCTTCATTCAAACTTTGCTAAAAAGGAAACTACGACTACACTACTGAACTTGAGAACTTCCATTTTGCTCTACTATACACTTGAACTCCACTAATGTACTTTTTTACTTCACTTTATTTGGGAGCCGGAGTTACTTTGCAGGTTCAGTTTTTAGGTGCAGAATATATGATCAATAAATATAATGCATTTATATTGAAAGGGGCCATTCTGCATGATTAGTACACTTATGAATCTTCAAGTATCTTTTGCTGATAAAATTTTGAACTTTAACTTAAGTTAATATATGAGTACAGGACTGACATACATATTCTGTTAATGGAGTAGGAGGAATTGGTCATTTAATATGTTTTTCTTCATTAGTGATCAAGTTGTGAGAAATGTATATATCTCATCTTTCCACAGTAGAGGTCATCATAGTTAAACTGTTTTGTCTGAATTACATTTACTATCACAGAGGACTAAGAAAACCAGCAATGAAATTGGAACCAGTGCCTTTCTTTTCTTTTTTCTTTTTGCTTGAAAAATTAATCAAAATTTTTACCATCAACTTTACCAAGGAGGGTAGAGCAAGGACTAGCTACCATATCAATGCTGTCATTAATAGATGTCCTTCATGACAAGTGAAAGGCACTATCCCAAAAGTAAATGTCTACAGTTTCCAGAGCTATATGGTGTTGTTGGGTATTCAATCCCAACCAATAACTGAAACCTCCATTCATCTGCTCAAAAAATCTGAAGGCAGGTGACAGCCACTGTGTTCACTATTAACAATAAATTACTATTCTTTGTCAATAAGCCATTTCTGAGATCATATGCTTTTTTTGGAGAAGATTTATTTTTGCTTTTTTTTGTGACGTGGCAACAACAGCAGCACCCAGAAGGTGATTTGTTAGACCAGCATTCACACTGTTAAGTAGAAAAAAAAACAATACAAGGCTACCAGGGAACAACCGACGGACCATTGCTTTTGAATGAGAAAAGCCAAACAATGAAATACTGCATGACAGTAACTTGTAGTATCTAGTTTCAACATACAGTACAATTAAACTCAATTACTCCATCCTTCCTTTTAAACTAAATACATAATAATTCAGCAGTTACAATTATTTGTAGTGAAAAAAATGCACTATTTGTCATGTACAATTTGGAACAATCCATGTTCGTTTACAAGTGCCACTGTATCTATACCTTATTTAGACATACTGCAATATTTTACATTTTCATGAATCCTGTGTTTATTACTACTTTTCCTCTACAGAACCACTTTGCTTTCAGTTCTTCAAATCGGACATTCTTGGCTTAAATGTGCTCAGGAGCTGCTGAATAAAAACAATCTTTAACATAATGGCCATCAAAGAAACACAGAGAAAGCAGTTTCCATCCCACACTTACAACTTTTATGTCAAAGTAGTCCATTCAATATTAATATTATGCAATATTTTTGTATTCATCAAAGAAAACGAGAAATGACATGCCGAGGAGACCGACTGATGAACAGTACTGATAAGGGATGCTGCTGTCTGTGTCCTCAAGAGAGAGAGGCTACTGTGTCATCAATAACAATCTCAGAAGAACAACAGAATCGGGGCGAGTAGCAGGACAGACGGAGGTGAAGCTCAGGGGCAGCAGCTGCAACAGTTAGTCAATGTCCATTTGAGGGAGCTTGCTCTCTGCTGTTTCCTGTTCCGTCCCTGCAGGTGTGGCTTTGTCTGGGTTGCACGGCTGGCTCTCTGTTCCCTCCTGTCCATTGACTGGTCCGTTCTCTGTCTTCTCCTCCTTAGGAGGCTCAACCTTGGGCTTGGGTTTGGACACCACAGGGTTGCAGGCTGTATAAAGCTCCTGAAGAGGGAAAAAGGAAGAATTCGGTAGAAAAAGGGTTTATTTCAGAGATCATTTTTGCTCACTTGATCACTTTTAAATGAAGCTACATCAATTTCTACAGCCAATTTGTACAATGAAGACTTGTTTTACTATTTCACACTTCTTTGCTGCTACTACAAAATCGCAGCAGGGCTTACAGTACATTGACACATACAGATTCAAAAAGCATCCAGCTACACTATGAAGTTGAGAAAGGCTCAATATTATGCAAATTTCCTCTGACGCAGTGCAAGCAAAAAGTGAGAGCCAATATTGATCATTTTGATTCCAGAGGAAACGGAAGTATTAAGTTTTAAACAACATTGAGGAAAAGCTGACTGTTACAGTCTCAGGTTGCAAAAAGTTAGAAAAAAATCATATGATCGTGCACTACCTTGATTACTTGTTATAGTTGCATTCTCATGTACAAACATGACAAGATAAAGCAACACTCCAATCATGGTCCCACTGAAAAAGTAGGTACTTTTTTTCCATTTCTCCCCTCCTTTTTAATTTCACGTGTCTGTGTTAGATATTAAGGCTGCAGGAAACCAGACTACTCACAAATCTACAGGGACTGGTGTGAATTACATTACCCCTAAACCCAAAAAAAATGTTTACTGAACTCTACAATGATTACAGTGGGGCCTGTAGGCTGGTTTTCCAAGGCTAACTCGAACATGATGTTGAGAAATAAAGCCCCTATTTAACAATTTACCTGAACATTTTTGGCGTTTAGTGTGTATGTGTGCTTTCTCAGTACCTTAGCCTTGGCCTTGATCTCGTCAACTTTTACCACTGGATCCAGGGTGAGGTCCTGACTGTTCTGCTGGTTCATTTTGCTGTTCATCCAGACCATGGCTTCGTTCACCTGCTTGTCCACCCGAGTCACCTCCAGCTCATCCAGGTGATCGTACTGTTCATCCTGTTGAGAGAATCCCAGGTAATTTAAGAAACCCGTTTTGTGACTGCTCGTATCGGTGAGTGAAGAAGATATAAATGGAAGTGATTATAACCGAGCCTATAATCGCTTAAAATAGCTTTAAAATAATCTTAGTGCTTCATATACATACATTTCACCTACAAGACCTCTGAAGTAATGAATTCAGTGAAAGCTGCTGCTCTAATATATCACCAACAAACTCCAACTAAGCAATCACTTTAATAAGTGAACAAACCCGCTCTCTGTGCCAGCTTACCTTTGCCTTGTAAGCTTCAATGATCTTCATGTACATCTGGATTTGTCTGCCAAGATCCTCAAAGGCTTTTGGCCTCTCCTCAGCTTCCATGTATCTCTCGTGGATAGGCTGGCCCATTTTCTGTAGAAAAGAGCATCGTGTTTATTCAACCAGTCGTCCAACAAGTCAAAGTATTCAAGAATTATTTCAGTTCTTTATCTTTTAATAAGTTAATTTCAAAACAAATCAATTACTAAAGATTATTCCTTTTGTTAACAAGGGAATAAACAAGGAAAACAGTAGATAAACATATAGAGCCCCTACAAGTAGTTAACGCCAGGTTTAAACCTTTAGAAAATTAATAAATAACTGCCTGTAACCTTGGTACTGTCACTGCCACCTGTTACTCTGACCACATGTTCCCAAAGCTGAATTATGTCCTCCTAAAATCTCCAAGTACCCTTTAAAATGGTAGTATAAACTCCCCAGTCATACAATGCATGCATTCCTGGTTACCTTCAATTCAGCAAGTTTGTCAATGTAAACTTGTTTCTGTTGGTCCTCTCCATCTTCATACAGCCAGTTCTCCGTGTCCTCCAGTTTTAATGAGAACGCATCACGATCCTACATGTTGTAAAAAAGCTTAGATTAAATTCACATTTTTCAAAACATGAAATACATCCTTCATATTTGCATTTTAGGTTTAAACCCATCGGAAGTTTATCTGTTGCTAACAGCTCATTTCTAGAGAAGATGAGTGTTTGTTAACATGTGTTATATTGCCATCTAGAGGACTCAAGTGATCTATACTCACAGCTTCGTTCACAAACTTCTCCAGGGCTCCGTGCAGTTTGTCTCTCATGTCGTACACGTACTCTTCTACATAGTTCTTTGCATCGTTCCTCTCCTTCTCCAGCTTATCCTGCATGATCATCTTACCCTGGAAGAGTCACAGTGAAATTGTTGCCGGTCAGTGCACACAAACAATAATATGAATATTTGAGTCATATCTAGAAAATCTTTTTTTTTTTTTTTTTTTATATATACCTTTATGTAAAAAAATTACTTTGAATATACAAAATAAGAATAAGAACAACTGAAACCCGTATGAAATGTTAAAGTCATGTTATGGCACCTAAAAGTAAACTTAAGTGTAAAATCAAGATTTTAACCTTAAGCGGTCTTAGAGAATCCTGTCATTATCATATCATTAGAAAAAGCACAGTTATTGTAAGTTTTAAAATGGCCAACAGTCTTTGCTTTTTTGTTCTAAATAAAAACCAGGACCAGTAAGTTTCACTAGAACATTGCTTGGACAAATACTTTGTGTGCATGCTAGACATTCCTGGTGATTTTTAGAGCATTACCTCATTCTCCACAAACATATTTAGTACTTCACTGGACAGCTGCCAGTCCGACTTGTTCTCTATGGGCAGCTCCACTGTCTTCGTTTTCACTTTGGGCTTCTTCGCCTGAGGGGGCTGGTCGTTCTTCTTCTCCTGCTTGGCGTCCTCTGTTGTTGTCTGAAAGAGGAGAGATGAAAATTTGCTTAGTCTGCTGCATTAGTGGTATTTTACATAGTTTCTATGTCCTCAACCTGAAAAAGCTTAAGGGCCTTGAGATTCCCATGGATTTAACTTTTCTAGAATTTATTTTTTGGATGTATTCTGTTCTTTTTACACTGTTGCATAATATTCAAATTTTATTTTATTTCATTTTATTTAATCATTTTTAGGTTTTATTGTGTCTTTCAATGGCAGAATTCTGTTTTAGACTTCATTGTCCTGTTTCTAAAAAACACATCATCAAGACTTGTTCGAACAACATTCTGGGTCTGGCACATTTAGGCGATGTTAACACTTTACGTAATGTCGGGGTGTGTCTTTGGCTTCTTTAGTAATAAGCATTTTAAATAAAACACCAAAAATGCTGACACACTGGAAAATTCTGTCCAGGTTTGTTGAACCTACACATGACACTGGTGACACTGATGTTATCTCTCCATTTTCACTGAAATGGCAGCCACACTAAATTTTCACTATAACATCTTTGTAACACTTTGTAAGAGCGTATTTGTTTACACTGACAACAAGTGGACTTCCTTTCAAAGGTAGAAAGCAGTGTAATCCTGCTATATATAATATCACAAAAACACTGAGTAAATTTCAGTGTATTGGCCTGCACAAGGTTACCTCCATCTCCTCCGTCTCTGATTTCTTGTCTCCATTGTCTCCGCCCTGAAGTTTCTGATCCTCCTGGTCCACCTGCATTTTGTTCTGACACAAGGTAACAAAAGAAAGGAAGTAGATAGATTATATTAAATTTGCCATTTTGTGGCTGTTTTTATCCAACTCTGGGTTCAGACAGCTCGAACATAGATAGGTTTGTGCAAATCATTTTGGTTGGTTTCCTTCCATTCTGAAGAGTCTGCCTTTTGTGTTTGCTGCCTTTCATCACACCACAAACTCCTCTTGGTCTCAATTATGTTTTTTAAACCCCTCACAGGTAGTACTTGTTGCAGAAGTATTGTGTTCGACAGCATTAATTCGCATGAGTTTATACTCATGGCTTTTAGAGTTGCATTCAATCAGATTAAGAGTTATTCCGCATTAAAAAGAGCAATTGAATGCAAATGTGGTTGTTGGCCCTGCTGCACAGATGATGACAAACAACCTAAAAATTACAAGGAGGTATTAGAGATAATCAAATACAACTCCTTGAAGCTGTCTTAAGCTTGTTAAGGCAAGAAATCTAAATTCCATGGCTATGACAAGACTGACTATTAAAAACCAAGGTGTGGTCAGACTGAAATACTGTGTGAAAAGTGATCTCTGATGTGCAAACAAAGCAAACAGCATACAACAAGCCAGGAGTAAGTCCTGTCTCTTTCTCACACAGACACACAGACACACGCACTGTATCATACACCCAGTGCAAAATACACAGTACACACCTCCTCTTCTTTCGCTGTCTGTTCTGTCTCCATCGGCTCCTCCCCCTCAGCTGTTTTTACGACTTCTACCAGCGACGCGCTTGATACACTGAACACACCATGAACATTAACCCGAACTTTAACCTTGACCTTTGCACTCTCCCCAGACGCCTGAGGAACCACATTCTGGATCAGGAACTGGCCTGCAAGGTGAGGGAAAGGGTGAAAGGTTAGAACGAGTGAGAATACTTGCGATTATGTCAACGAGGAAGGGTGCACAAGTACAAATACAAAAATAAAAATAGCAAACATGTGCAAGAAGCTACGCTGAACACGTTGTAGGAATCATTAGCATGTTATCAAACATCTTGTGACTAAGAGATGATTAAAGTTGGTTGATTACTTCACATACTACCAAGGCTGGCATCACTCTTTCTGCAGAACTAACTGCAACCACTCAAAAGTAGGAGCTAACAAATGTAGCATGGAGCAGGGGCATATGTCAAAGTTAAAAATTAACTGTCCATAAGTTACTTATAACTGGCACTCTTTGGATGGTTTGTCTTACAAACTGCAGATTAAATTAAATAATAAATAAATAAAAACAAAACATTTCCAGAAGCTATTCTTAGTTATATCTCTACTGATTTTTCATTTTAAATACCAAATTAAATAAAAAAGGACTTTTTTTTCCATACTTGATGCCCTTATTCATTCTGACCACATTTCTCTTACAAGTAATGAAGTTGAAATTGCAGTACCTATAGCGTCGCTGGGGTAGGGCAGCTCCTTGGGGTTGTTGTAGTAAGCATCAAGGGTGAAGGGCTCTTTCCGGTAGAAGGTCAAAACTTTGGAGAAGGGAGCTGCATGGTTCTTTGGGAAAACTTCACAATCACTGTGAGAACACAACAGGAAGAGGTCAGTGAGACAAGTTAAGTTTCATAAACAGAATCTTGCAATTTAGATCAAGGATTTGTATCAATGTGGAAAATGTCACTGTGGTATACATGGGGTGGGCTGGCTCATAGGTCCATTTGCAGCAATTGATACTAGAGGTTTTTTTAGTAATAGCTTATGAAACATATCTGAAGTCACTTTGAGGCTCACAAACCATTTATTTAACCAGAGTTGGTTAGCAGTCAGGATTTACAAATGATTTGGTAAACTGAGAATGGAACTGGCAGAGGCTTCAGATAGTGGGTTTGTGTGGTACAAATGGACTGTGGGTGTGGGCAGGTGTGGCAGAAAATCCTGCAGGTAAGGATAAACATCTGATCACACAGTGAGAGCAGGTGTGGCCTTAACAAAATAATTTTCTCATGTCTGCAGACTTCAGGGCGGTTTATAAATTACGTTAAATCATATTTCAATATTATAGATTAGATTAGAGAATATTAGAGATTATTTAATATACAGTTGGTCAAAACACATTACAACAAATTATTCTGCTTGAAGAAGCTAATTGACAGTATAACACTTACTATATTAAAGCCCCCAAGTCCACCGATATTCATATATACAGTAAAGCAGCATTTAAGCCTCAGTTTCCCCATTTTCTCTGTGTGATCCAAACATGAATTTAAGCAAAGTCCTAACTGCATTTCCTCATTAGATGTCCTCATGTGACACCGACAGAGATCGTACCTCAGTCCTTCTTCTGCGGCTGAATTCCATTTTAGGGAGATAGAGTAGGGGACAACATCTGTAATGGAGAACTCTCTGACTTTGAATGCTGGTGACAAGATAGCACACTGAGGAGAAGAGAAAGAAAAATACAAAATACAAGTTACCAAAGCTCAAGGTTCTGTCTTGAAGCTGCTATCTTATTCTGACCAACAGTGAAAAATTAAATTAAATTGAATGTGTGTGATCTTTCTTCTACTCTCTTATCTAAGCTACCAGAAGGTGAGTTTCCTGCGTGAGTCGTTAACAGGACCAAAGTGTTGGGTGAGGACAGGTGAGCTGTACCTGCAGGGCACAGCCTCTGGCCACAGCCTCGTCTGCGTTCAGAGTGGTGCTCAGCTCTTTGCCAAAGAATTTGCTAATTCTCTCCTTGATGGCGGGGATTCTGGAGGCACCGCCGACAATCTCCACTGCATAGACATCTTCCTTTTTCAGTTCTGGGTACAGGAAGCAGGTGGTAAGAACGATACAAAAACAGGCTTATTGAGTTTAGACAGTCACAGCTTCACTTTCCAAAACTCTCCCATTAAATACAATGACAAAGTGCTCAGTGTGTGAACAGTACTGTAGTCTGAATGAAAGAAGCTCATGTGACATTGTAGTACCTAGTGAAAACAGCAAACTTTTAGAATGGACAAGCAAGAGCAAGACATAGAGGAAGTAAGGAAGGATTAGAGGGAGGCAGGCATGTCGCCAGTGTCCGGAGGGAAGGGCTGTCTCAGCAAAGCACATGACTGAACCATGTCTATGCGAGTGTGCCATGTGCTTACGGGGATAGTCCAGCTGCTATTTAAGTAATATGTACTCACTGGCTTGTTCCATGACGCTGCGCAGGGGACCCTCTACTTTGGCCAGCAGCCCCGCACACATCTCCTCAAACTGACCTCTGGGGACACATGGTCATAGATTATTAATAGATACAGACTCACACATACTCAGGAGAAACCCACATGTGCAGAGAAAGTAACGATGTGACGGGCAAATGGATTCCGTGTACATCTACAAACAATTTCTATTTTTGTTTCACAATTTTTTATTTATTTTCACTTGTTAATATAAAGCAACAAACAAATCCAAATATAGTGTTTCTCAAGCCCTCATTTAACATGTTGGTTATACCTGCTGTTGCATAGCAGGTTTTGTCCTCTTAATTAAAGTAACTTTGCAGCTCACCTGTTAAGTTTGCCGGAAACGTCAATGTCGTTCATGAAGCATTCGATGTTGAGAGGCAGGTCGGAGGAGTTTGCACTCATCAGCTTCTTGAGCTTCTCACTCTCTTGGTAGAGCCGCACCAGCGCCCGGGGCTTCGACTTGACGTCCAGCTTGTACTTCTTTCCAAACTCCTCGCAGAAGTGGTTGACCAGGATGTTGTCAAAGTCCTTCCCGCCGAGCTCTGAATCAAACGCTGTAGCCAGGAGCTGGAGGTGGAGGGAGAAAAGGGCTAAATTATTAAACCAATGGATAAATACCTCGATAAATACTTATACTGTACTATATCATATATTGATTATATTATAATAGATGCATTTAAACATAACCATGAACAAGTGATTAAAAATCATTGCTACACAGCACTGTTCACCATTCTGTTTATCTGTGCCCACATAAGGAAAAAAGAATGACCAACTTTTTGCCAAACCCGAGAAGAACCTAGAGTATGCTGTGGTGTCATAACCTGCCCTAAAAACCTTTTCCCCTTCAGTGTTGTTTTTCAAAATAGGCACAAATTATTCATTACTCACCTTAAGCTTTCCCTTGTTGAAGGCACAAACTGACACCTGGTAACCGGAGTGGCCCAGATCCACAAACACCACTATCCTGGGCTTCTCTTCTGGAGCTGGCAGGTCCTGCTTGTAGATGCCATATGCCAGAGTCACTGCAACAAACAGGCATAATATGGCGTTAGTTTGTTCTGACCACTGTATGTACCAGTATACCAGTTAGCATGCTGCATTTCAAGTGTACTGCGCTCAACTACGTCTGACCTACACACAAGTGTCACATCAGAATGGGAATAAATACAAATGAATAAAATTTAGGTCTAGCTGCATGACATCCATCTGTGTCACTGTAACTAAAACATGGATTAGATTTTCTGAACCTTTATGAAAATATGCTGTAGCACCAATGTGATATGTACATGAATTTACAGCTTGAGCATGGTTCAAACTTTTACTCAGCAATCATTTACAGACTGCATTTGGCCATACACTTGACAACTCAATACTTTTTCATAGCTTGTTTAATAGAGTGGCTTGTTCCAGGAGATGAAAACATATCTCACACAAAATAGCATCTAGATGTTATCTCACAGCAGTGTCATAATTACCATACGTGGTTAAAAAGACCAGCAATGGATAACTAGACAAAAATGATTCAGATGGTGCCTGTTCTGCATATAGTTTACTGTGTTTCCATGTACCTGCAGTGGTCTCATTCATTAGTCGTAGACAGTTGAGGCCTGCGATCTGAGCTGCATCCATGACAGACCTCCGCTCTGCATCAGTGAAGTAGCTTGGGACCTGGGAGAGGGGAAAAAAAAACAAAACAGCATTAATACAAAGGATTAAAGAGTGTCAGTGAGTGAAGAAACGTTGCCAGTCTCAGAATGAAGGATTTGACTGGAACCACCAATAATAGAAAAATGTATGCACATGGTATTACCGTAATGCACTAATAACATACGAAATGTGTCCGAAAGTTATAACATAGCCTTTATTTCTTCTATGTGAATGATCACTTTTAACACTAACGATCCATGAATCGCCTGCATCACAAGATGTCTGGATAATATTACCGTGTTGGTTACGCCGGGTGCCAAAACAAAACATCTCCTTGTGGAAAAGCTCAAGGACTAAATTTAACTATTGGCCACAGTAATAATAACATGTTATCCATCGCTAGGGCTGATGTAAACTGTAGATTTAGGCCCAGTGAAAGTAACAGCCTCACTCTATGAGATCTGTAACATTACATAACAGATGCTGTTGGTGATTTCATGTACTGAGCACAGCAAGAAACGCACACTTCCCACTCTTCACCAACAAGGTGCAAGAGAGGAAATAAAGCTTTGAGACAAGACATCTGGTTAAGTGCTTAGAGCTCAACATGTCACATGAACAGGTGGTAATACATTTATACACTTTGGAGGCAGCTTTCTCTGCCCATTTTTTTTTTAACCCAAAGTGTTTGAAAATGCAAGAGGATGACATTAATAGCAGGATGTAAATGCAATGCAGTACTCCATTTAAGTACATAGAATGGCATAAAGTGCAGTACGTAAAGTGAGTCATAGGTCTCTTGTTAGTGCAATGTCGTATCTTTAAATAAGCTGTGCATACGGATCCAACAAGTAAATTAACACCTGCTTAGACATTTAAAAGGCAATCAGGTAAGATATGTTGCCCCAAAAATAAGCCTACAAAACATCCTGTTTGACCTGGATAAGCAGACAGATTTTCACAAGAAAATTAATGCGCAGCATCTGACAAATTTATTTCAGAGGTCTTATGGATTTTCAAACACCCTGCTAAAGCCATGAAATGGTCGCAGTTGTCTGCAGGTATGCTTACAGAGATGACACAGTCTGCAACCGGTTTCTTCAGTGCACTTTCCGCAGTCTCCTTCAGTTTGGTCAGCAGCATGCCGGTGACCTGCTCAATGCTGAACACTTTCTCCTCCTCCATGTACATCACCTGGAGTTGACGAGAATTAGGAAGATGATTACTCTCGAAACATATCATTTAATAAGCTGATAGAATATGAAATGTGAAAGAGCAAACATACTTCCACACAGATGTATAAATTGATTTAAATGACAACAAAAAAACAGGTAATGCATTAAAACATGATTAAATACGGCTTCCAGTTTCTTTTAAAGCATCTTAACAGATAGAGCAGTCACAAAACAAGATGGTTCATTCTCTAACAGCTAGGAAAGAAAAATATGTAAATGTAATAAAATATGTAAAAGTATAAGCTGAATATTCTTAATGCTAGGAGTGATTTTGGGGGCAACATCAGGTTGATGTAGTCGCCTTTGATTTGACATTTACTCTACTTTTATTTGTCCTGAGAACTCACATTATGTCCACAGGGACAGAACAACATGCCGTGCTATCTGTTTGCAGTGAGAAAGCCAAGCACTGTCATTTGCATCCTTACAAGAACTTTGGGTATGTTTTGGATGTTACACTAGCTACCTGATGACACCAGAAATTAGTAATTTTTTCATGTTTACGCATTCAGCTAAGTGCAAGGTTCAGATAATGCAATGATCATTTTTTACCACAGAATATTGTCATAAGAGACAAAATGCCAGAAAAACAAATATAACTACTTAAGAAAGAGGTAGGAGAGGCTGCTTTTAGCATAGAGGACTGGCTAGAATGGAAAGATAAAGTAGAACAGTTATGATTCAGAGGAAAGAGCATTATGTGAGGCACTGCTTTCACAGTAGGTAATACTGGATAAAGCAATATGGTCAGGAATGCGCTATTGTGATTTATGCTTTCTCTCTGCTAGATTTCTTATAAATGTCCCTTTTTTTATTTTGGATTGGCCTAGTTCAGTGTACAGTACCGCCAATAAATTCAGAACAACACCCTGGTTATTAAGTCTTACTTTAACAATCTGCTATAAAAGACTGCAACTTTTTCTTGTGCTGTTTATGGTTATCTATATAGTCTCCAATACAGAAGGAGCACCATTATATTCTGAATCTTACTTTAATACCAGTGGATCCAGAGGGCATCTGTGCCAGATCATACACCAAGTTAGACTTGGCTGACTGGATGTAGGGGTCTGAGAACATCCTGCCATGGAATCGCTTGAAGCCCTGCACTGTGTTCTTACAGTTGGTCACCACCTGGACATGTTGAACGAAGCAAAAGTGGAGAAAATGAAAGAAAATTAAGTTACAATAATGAGCATTAACCCTGATGCAGTTTCCAATGTTTGCATTTTAAATGCAGAGAACTCAGGACAATGTCAGAGTGACGGGACTGATTTTACCTGGCTCTTTGCAGCTGCTCCTATAGATCGATTTCGTGGTCCAAATGATACAAATGACCTGGAAGACACCAAAACAAAATTTTAAGCTACACCCTGGCATGTTAATATGAACAAGCACCCTAAGCTCTTTCTTTTAATCATGGATCTATTTGTAAATACACCCCAAATACAGACAGATTTGCTCCCCAGTTTAGTTGTTACATGGTTAATTCTCATGTCTACATATATCATGACATTTCAGAGCCCAACCCACATAAAACTTGACAGACCATGTGAGCAGTAACAACACTAGCAGTTTGTTTTGGTTTGCATAAAAGTAAAATAAAACGTGAACTATGATCAAGGTTTCAACTTTATTAAGATATTTGCTTACAAGTAGCAAATGTAAATGTGAAATCTTTCACAATGTAGAAAAATATCAACTCTCCTTTTCTTTTTTTTTTACCAAATGGATGAAGTACAACATTGTGGCTGCACACAGGCTTGTTAAGATTCATCTATCACAGTTCACTCAATACTATATAAACACAGTCTGAAGTGAAGTGGTCAGTCCACTTGTATCCCAGCGGGCTGTGGTCTAAACATGCCTTTAATAATCGTCATACTCAGAGCTACAGTTGATGTCAACACACAAGTGCAGTTGGTGATGTCAACGACGGGTCAATGCATCAAGTCTCTGAAGCGATTGACTTGCGTTGGGCAACAACTTCACCCAAGAACAGAGTAGTAAGTTGTATGATGTGGTGTTTTCGGCTCCTTAAACCTTAAATTCCTTTACCCTCACTATCATAAATGTTGGTTTCAATTTAAGATCATAATTTCACGTTACAGTCTCTGTTGACATGATTTCTCCCAACTCTGAAATACTGACATTACCAAACACGTCATCACACGGAGTCACCATACTAAAAATCCTCAAGAAGGTATCATCTTATTCGCTAATGTTTCTAATTTATCCTCTCTATTTTATCAAAACTTTACCAGTGTATGTGCATCAGATAATTCTAGACAAGACCTTTAAAGAAGTTTTAATGGCAGTTTTAACTAAATTCAAAATATTATTTACTGTATGTACAGTATTAAAACTATATCAAACTGCATGTTCTGGACGTTTTCTTTTTTCCACCAGTTTGAGGAATCATTCTTTGCTATTCACATTTTTATTTGAAATTAGTTTACAAATACTAATCTGAAACAATGAATGTCACACTTCTTATTATAAGGCCTGAGTTGATCTTCAAAACCTGTAATGAAAACAAAAATCAAGGAAAAAACAAAATATCGCACGATATAAATCAACGTATCTTTATGAGAAATATTCGTGAAGGGGTGGTTTCCTTGATATCCTATCAAAAGACCCCTTGAAATTCATTAAGATAATTTTTCATAAGATATATTGACAGGACCCATAACTACTATGTGTACAAAGCGTGCCGTATCATCGTATAAGGTGAACTTGAGTCAATATTAAAAAACACTTTAATGATAACATTCTTGAAACATACTCTTTTTTTAATACAAGTCAATTCAATATAAATGAATATAAACAGTATGTCTTCAGGACAAGTAACTAAACTCTTAAAGGGACTACAAAAATTGCCAGAATGTTCCAACCGATTGGCTGCTGTTGTCATCGAGCACGTAAGGCAAGACGCACTCTTTGCCACACGAGGCACACCGTTTGGACGGAGCTTTCGTCTTCAAGAGCTGAACAACAGTAACCATAGCGGTGGTGGGAGGGAAACACCGCCCGCTCGTGTTCACCGGGTGACTAATGCTCGTTTTCAAACCGTACTGTAACGTTAGTTGAAACTAAGCTTAGCTAACTAGCTAGCTGATAGGTAAACGAGCTGTGTGTGTTAAAGATGAATTCTACGTGGTTTCTCATTCGCCACTGTAATATTAACAAATGTTTTCTTAATTTACTTACACTAAAATTCACATTAATAAGCCAACACAGTACGCAAGTTGCGCTAACAGTAGCTAGTGAGTAAAACTGCATTCACGTGCATTACCCTAACACCGGCGAGACAACAAACGTTAGAAAATAACACCTCCCTTTCCTACAGTTGTTCCCTCGCAACTCCAATAATAAATATCTGCATTTTATGTACTTACGGTGTGCATCTGTCGCTGTACTCGTTAGCGACTGTCTCGATCCCTCCGGCTCGGGCTACAGCTACATAGCAGCTTTGAAAGCCCAAGTCAAATCCCACCACTGACATCTTCTGCGATACGTCTGTCTTCTAGCGTTAGCAGTATCTACAGTATGACTTATAAAAATAAAACAAATGTAAAGCTACAGCTTTAAGAGGGTGTCAAGTCAGGTGGAGTAGTAAGTTCTTTTTCGCTGTGTTAAGTAGGGCTACTTCTAGTCATAATCCACGCCGCTGACTATTACCGGTGTCTCTGATCTGTGCTGGCAGGCTGCAGCAGCAAGGTGGTCTTACTCAATTCTCGCCGGGAGTCATCGCGAGAATTACGGAGTTCTAGATATATCTGGACCTTTCTATAACCATGTGAGAGACTGTTCGCCATTACTCGAGATTTCAGGTGAAATATCCTGATTTCTAAACATTTCGAAATCATTTTTGGGCTTAAGATTTACGCTGAAAGGACACCGTGTAAAGAATTCCACCGCTGTTTAATATAATTTTGCCTGGGATCAACTGTAATAAAACACAAATAGACTAGGTGTTGAAAGTATGAAGTCATATGTTAAAAGCCTACCACTGACAGAGCGAACCAAAGCCACACATTCGTTTTGACAATATATTCATTGCAATCGTGGTTGATATATTTTTCCAAACTAATAATAATCATAATTTATTATGTAGAGTAATTGCTTTTATTAGATTCCTTATATAAAACATCATACAATACGCTATGTGTATCTAGGAAAAAAGAAAACCTAAAAACACATACTATCCAGCACATGGACCTTCACATGCAAATACAAAATATGAAAATACAATATAATACAATACAATGTATAGGACTGAAGCGAGCATGCCTATGCCTGTCCATCATATTATTATGCTGCTTTACATTTGTAAGATAAACCAAAATGTGACTGACAGTTACACCTTTAAACCCCCATAAGACTTTATTTATAAGCAGTATACAAACATTTAGTGTCTATTAATGTAAAGTATATGTCAGCAAAACAGCAAAAAGAGCAACAGATTGTTTGTTCAGGTAAAAAACATTAAGAAGCAACTATTTACATGAATACAAATATCAACTGTGGGGCATACTTTTGTACTTACAGTATATGCTAAATGAGGTTTTAAAGTATGATGGATAAATCTTTTATATTCTATAATCGTCAAAAAAAAAGCTATATAAAATGTCTTTTTTTGCCCTGCAATGGAAAGTCCTTTTATTTAATACAATTACACTACTGTATGTGTTTTCATAGGGATGCCAGAATCCAACTCAGGTTAGTACCGCACCTTATGGTAAACCTGTATGGTAAAACTGTAAAATAAATCTGTATAAGAAATTAAAGTCTCTGCATGTGAAAAAATTGTGCTTGTGTGTGCAGAGTACAGTTGAACAACTGTCTAAGGGGAGACCTCCCTTTACCTAAAAAAGACAGATAGCGAGTCCAAATAAGGGAAAAGACTTATCTTCAGGACAATGAGACTGGATACATATAGCCGTATAAATTAACAACTAAGCAGCTGCCTCCAGGTGAAACTGTGGAGACTCAGAAATATACACAAGAAGAATTAAAAAACATGCACAAAAACAGAAGCAAGGACACCAAATTATTGAACAGAATATGGTGTCAACTTTTTATTCTCAGAGAAGCAACATAATGGAAACCCCTGTTCTGGTAAGGGTGTGGCCATATTTGTTTGAGATGTTTGATATGATAGCTCACTTTAAATAGCTCATGGGTATGGAAGTTAACAGAGGATCTGTGTCAAGTAAATGCGGAGGAGTTGTTTCATACCTTATGTCTTGTGAGAAGAAGAGCAAATCGGGAAATCACCAAAGCAAAGCATCTAGATGCTGATCTTCCCTGATGTCTTATGCTGCTTTTGAACCATTTCAATGAGGACCAGGACAAACAGTACTTCATATACTTCATATGCATTTTGTGCTTACAAAATAAGGAATGAACTTGTTTTGTCGGTGGCAATAAAATACTGTTTAAATATCCATGAAAAAAAGGATAGAAGATTATATGTACATGCAGCTCTGACAAAAAGTAAATATGGGTGGGTGTAATGACAGTTGAATGGTGGGAGTGTGCACTGCGTTGGTGATACAGATAAAGACAGAAAAATGCTCAACCTCAGCAACTGTTGGAACAGTATGTGAAGATCTTGAAATAAAACCAAGAAAAAGATTTTAAAAACTCAAATATTATTTGTCTTGTCCCACATTATCAATATGTTCACTTTTACTTATAGCCTACTGACATCACTTGAAAACACTAGCTTCTTGTTTCTTTTTAAAGACGATCCACTGTTTGATAATTTATTAATAATTTTGATGTTCATTTACAAACATTACAGCAACAAAATTTACTTCATTTAAAAAAAATCCTCAATTTCTTATTTGATTTTATTTTCATTGTAATGACAAATGAATAAAACCTAATTAGGACTGATATGGCCAAAAGTATGGATTGACTTTAATTTAAATTATATATGTTAAAAAAAACAAAGGTCATTTTAGTTCTATGAAAGAATGACCCTAATGTTGCACTGACATACTGTGTTATTGATGAAATACACACAGATCACATTTACCGACAGGGGGCGCTGGATGTATTAAACTTACCGGAAATACGCACTGATCAGTTAACAACGAAGGAGAAAAAAGTAAACTGCAGCATGGCGACTCCCATGCATAGAATAATAGCCAGGAGGCAAGCGTAAGTATTCTGTAGTTAACTAAATATAACTCCTTCGTTTTCATATTTCGTGAATACAGTAGTCTTTTAAACACTAATGACACTGACATTGAGCTCGTCGAGCTCCGTGTGTGATATATGTGGTGAATAACGAACGCTGCAGGGCTGAATGGGAACACAAATGCGCCGCTGTCTTTCACTACAAAACTGAATTATTGTTTAACTTTAGGACCGATTTCTTTCTGCAAACGCCTGTTTAGCCTTTAAGGACTTGCTTGATGTGTTTAAATGCCAAAATAACCGAACAGACCTCCGTTTATTCGAGATTAGTGTAAGATATATCAAGTTATAGTAACAGTGCGGGTTTTTTCAGTCCAAGTTACTTCATTGACGAAAATATTCTTCTATTTATTAGTGTTTGGCTGTAGGACTGGGTCATACGGAAAAATACATCGTTATTATCTTGTTAACATATCGACATTCAGAGTATCAGTTTAACCCTAACACTAACCATAATATACTTACTATACTATACATTTTGGACGCTTTTCCATTCGCACTGTAAGAAATAGGCTAATCGACAATTTAATTTCATTAACCACAGTAGGAAAGATACATACCTTCCAAAAAATTACTACAGCAATAATAACTCCAAAAATAGTTGTCAGTTGTCAGTGGAAAACTTGGTAAAAACACAAGCAGTTCTGTAGATAATTTTGGGATGGTTCTGCATAATTTTGATGGGTTTTATAAAATTTTATATAAAGTAGGCAAACACATTTTCCATGTTGCTGAAGAAATAAATTAGACAATACTTTCAATTCTATATTCAAATGAAAAATACTGCCGATGGAAAATGGTTTCAACCATTTTCTACACTATAACTTAATCCGTTTGTTTTCTTAGTCATGACACAATGGCTCCAATTATCAAAGTGACACATTTTCTTGTACATTGAGACTCTGGGAGTAAAGGAATTTAGCTCTCTAACTTTGGAAAGTACTCCCATCTCCTGTGGGTATTAGGAGAACTGCAGATCTAGGGTCTCTTACAAGAGAAACCAGCAGAAGCAATAAGCAAGTCACACACTAACATCATTAGAAAAATAACAGACATTGATGTTTTAATTGATCCAAGTGCATGTTAGAACTTCCCTGCAGATGGAAAATTACAAGATGAGTTTGTGGAGGTTGGGGTGTTTAGATTGGAGTTCAAAATATTTGCATCCAATTGTTTATCATCAGGGAAGGCACTCCATTCAGATTTGACTGTTTTATTACACATAGAGAGGCGAACAAACAACATGTGCGTTGCCAGAAGTGTTTGGAGATGGGACACTGGACCTACGAATGCACAGGGAAGCGGAAATATGTGCACAGACCATCACGAACAGTTGAGATGAAAAAGAAGCTCAAGGAGAATGAAAACAAACCCCTCAGCATCACTGGGTAAGGCGTCTCCATCATTTCACCATTATCGAAAGAAGGGCTGAGCTGTGCTGACTCTGTTTTATGCAACTAAAATACATGTTTAAGATAATAACTGTGCACACCTAATGTTCACAACTTTAGAACAGCATAAAATGCCCATCAGATTCCTCTGAACATCCTGTGCAGCATTATTCAAGTGATTTGTAGGCAAAGGGGCTTTTTTTGTTTTCTTTGTGTGCCAACAGTTTTGAATCAGAGACCTCTGAATAGAGAGAAGCTGGTGTTCACACCTGTTTGACTTTACAGTCACCTGCTTTGATATTCAGCCTGGAATGAGGTGGGCGATCAGACTGAAATAGTTTGAAATTGTCGTCTTAGTCAGAGACTTTGCCTCGTCAGAGGATTAGCAAGGGTGTCAAACTAAGCTGAGATGCCATGGTGTAAGAGACTGCACCAGGGAGCAGTAAAAACACTCATAATTTTCGGAACCACGCTGAAGAAAATTTAATCTGTAGGTTAAATGGAGCCACTGTTGTAGTCAGAAACACACCACAGGATGTGTGAGTAAATAAGTCTTTACTGTGAAACTGTCATCGTACAAAAACTGACCGACCAGCAGAGGAAAATGTTATTGCTTTTTGCCGCCACCTAGAGGACATACTGATAAATACAATGTACTTTGTTAACAACTGTCAATATTTCACTTTTAAGGACTGAAATTAGTTTTCATAATTATTGCTGATCCCTGAGCTGGAATGAAAAATGTGCCACTATTGTTGTATGCAAAAGTTTGGGCATCCCTGTGCAAATTACATATTTTGTTGGTCTGTGAAGTCTAAAGAAACAACCACTGCAGAAAAAAACAGAGGCCAAACTTTTGCAGACAACTCTATATTAAATCAGCAGTCTACACAGTGTGCACAACCAGCTCTCATGGGGAAAGTGTGTTTTGTCTGGTTTGATCCAATTAATGAACCAACCTTTAGGCTTATCTTTATGTAAGCTGATTATTTTCAGACACAGATAAACATAAAACATAACGATTAAAACAAATTAAATAATGATACATCAGCCTTTTGTTTTGTTGCAAACTGCGTTATGGAGTATATGAAGTGCAAAGCAAGGTCCACTCAGTCATAGTTACCAGTGAAGTATATTGCACATTGTTAATTGGTTTTAATGATCAGATATAGCACCTTGTCATAATGTCTTTAAGGCAAAGTGAAAGTTGCATGTCAGTATAACACCATACATAGCGAAGGACAAGCTATTAGGATGTTCAGCGTACACTTGAAACAATGTGTTTTTACACTCCAAAAGACTGATCTGTCGTAATTATAACACATATTCCTACTTTATTTCTTTTGAGTATAGGCCCAATTCAAGCTCAGCTTATTTTAAGTAAGTGTCAGTAAAACGGTTGCTTTTTCTTCTCTTTACAGACCTGGAAGTGAAGGCTCCAGTGAGAAGAAAATTAAAAAGAAGTGAGTAAATAACCATGTTTTGACAATGTTTGATGTTTTTGGTGATCACAAGATATGTTTTGATGTGAAACAGTTATTGGAGATTCACACATTTATGTACAATATACTTGAAAACACTTAAATAATAGATCAACAGTTCTAAGCCATATTGTACTCATTTACATTTTTTGATGAAAGTACATTGTAGGTTTTATAGTACAATTTCAGTCATTCCAAAACATTTTAACATTGTACAATGTTTTAATATAGATAAAACATTTATTTACATATTTTTATTAGCAAGTAAGTAGTAGTACTTACACACAGTGATACATGAAGGCTTGTACATTTCTTTTCTTATTACCAGGAGCATTAGACTTTTCTTTGGAAGCACCTACAGCAGATTGTTTTGGTCCTGAAAATGTTATACCACTCATACAAGAGGCTTCTTCAGTTATAGTGTCTAGTTTGAAATTCCCTTGGCATTTCAATTTTTTTGGGTCATGCACGCATAGTCACACGAGAGTCGATAAGGTCTCATGTGAGTTGTTGGAGTCACATGAAAGTCATGTGAGAATTGTTGTCGTAGGATGTCAGGATGGCTCTGTGGTCAAGTTGTGTGGTAGGACCCCTCCTTTGTTTATAGATGGAAGTTGACTTTTCCAGCATTAAGCCCCACTCTCGGTCCAAAGCTCTAAATGTTGTCGTCCATCTGAACATTGTGGACAGAAATGGGACTTAACAGTTCCCTCTAGTGGAGACTCTTGACGACTGTGAGCCACTACAGTTGGTTAAAAACTGCTTAAGCACTTATCTTGTAGTTCTTTCAATGCCTGCTCGGAAAAATCATATTGTGGCTGTCTTGTTTGTACATATTTCAAAAGGTACTTTTAAATGATTTTATAAGACATTTGAAATTTTCTAGGTTGTGCCTAATTCTTCTGAAAGGGGTAGGTTACTGTTGTTAACCGCATCTAAATATTTAAGGTGTTGGCAATAAACCTTTTTCACAACAGATGTTTTGACTTATCGTAGTAGGAAAAGCACAGGTGGAAGTAATAACGTTAACGATGTGTCCCAATAAGCCATGACAGTGAGCCAACATATACAATACAAATATGATATACAATACCCTAAAACTGAGTCATCATTAATTGCATCATTACACCTGTGCTTTTCCTCCTGTGACGTTTCAAAATCTCTTCTAAAAAGAGTCTTATACTTTTAAGCACAACTTAACTTCCACATTCATCTTTTTCTTTATCATTCCTGAATGAATCTGATCCGTAGGTCTTTTTTTTCACAGCAGACACGTTTTGACTTGTGGTAAGAAAAGCACAGGTGGAACTAATAATCTTAACGATGGCTCTGTTCCCGCAGTGACTGCATTGCTATGCAACCATTTATAATGTTATTAGCTACATCTGTGTTTGCCAAGTCTAAATGTCTGCTGTGACAAAAGGTCTATTTAACTCCAGTTTTACTCCACAGCCACATTTTCCCCCTGGTCATGTGTGCAGCTAGCCTCCAGTGTGGAAACCACTGACTTGCATTATCAGAGGTTCATTTTTGAATTGTGGCTGTTGACCGGAAAAATGTCACAATAATGTAACCAAACTGGTATTACAGTTTATACAACACCTATTTGTTCAGTGTGGACTTTACTGCTGTGTGGATTTTTTAGTGTCAGGCCATGCTTGTGTGTTGGTGGGAGGGGCAGATGCCATCGTTCAAGAGATATCAGATGCTGGTGATGTGTGGAAGTGATGTGTGAGACATCACATCAATGAAGGTTTAGCACTAAAAGTGTCACTCCCTGTGGGTGAAACTAATCTGATTGCTTTTCCTGTGATGTGACTACACTGGTCAATACAACATCCAGATTAGAGAAAGAGTACATGTGTATATAATGTTTGCCCCATTTTCTCCGTTCTTCCAATGTAAAACAACAAATCAAACACCTTGCACACTAGCACTTGCAACCTTGCAAACACCATGTTACTTCACTTCCAAAGTAGGTAAACTGAGCATGTTTAAGATCAGAAACGGTTCAAAGTCCCTGCACAGCTTTTCTTCACACCACAGTGACTACAACAGGTACAGCAAGAGGCTTCACAACTATACGCGCCGCTCTGTTTTCTGTATTCATGTTTGTCTGCTGTGCTCTTTATCTCTCAGGGCTAAAGACTCCAGCGACAGCAGCAGTGATTCAGGCGGCTCCTCCAGTGACTCATCGTCAGACAGCAGCGACTCCTCCAGCTCCTCTTCAGATGACAGCGACAGCAGCAGTGACAGCGACGATGACAGCTCTTCCTCATCTCCCTCTTCCTCCTCCTCCTCTTCGTCCTCAGACAGCTCAGACTCAGGAAGCAGCAGCGATTCAGATCAAGGGCCTCCGAAGAAGAAGAAAAAGAAGAAATAAATAACTAAGTGGGTTTTCTTGTTGTTTTTTCCCTAAGTAAATTTTAGCTGTCCACTTTTTTTTTCTCAAACCCATCACAGTTGGTTGGATCTGCATGGATAGGACACTTTTAGGGCTGTAAACCTTACAGCTGCATACTGCTCATACAGTTTTTTTTAAACAGAAATGGACTAAGATGAAAAGAGAACAGGAGATTATTTTGAGTTGGCTATTGTGTCATATGTTCTGTTTTCAAAGTAAATCCCCCCCTCTTACTTCTACTAATGTGATATTTTCTCAAGATTGTAGGTTTACTGAGGAGGATGTACTTTTTAAAGATCTGAGGAAACTAGTGCGCTTATTCATGTTGAATCTTGTGATTTTGTACTAAACTATATTTTTAGTCAAATTTATTATGTACAGCTCACAACCTTAATAAGGCAACACCACATCTAGTAATGAAAAGACATTAGTATGAGAACTTTTAAAGGATACTGAATAAAAGTTTGGCAAAAGTTGGTTTGTTATTAAATTAGTTTGAAGTTAAATGGTCTTGTTGCTATGAAATTGCAGTTGCTTGTTTCACTGTAAAATAAACTTGGCTTGTTTTTTCTTTGGAGGCTCTTGTATATTTGCTTTTGTAAAAGGGTTTATTTTGGCATTATAATGACTTTACAGATATGAAATTGAGAATAAAATTGTAATAAATTGTCTTTTTATGAACTAATTTACATAGGATATTTTCATAAACAGCCTCTCATAGTGCCAGTGTTAGTAGACATGCCATTGTCATAGTATACATTTAAAGTGTTTTGAAATGCTTCACCATTATTTGCAATCATTAAAATGCAAAACAGACTAATAGTCATTAAGCCTAAAATGCAAGTTTTGTCTAGTCAGTTTAGTCCTAGGTTGTAGGATCATGTTTGAAACTCCTGCATTTAATTTGTTGCCTTTTAGCCTACCACACCCTAAACAATAATAATAAAGATGATGATGGAAGTAGTTGGGTGTGGCATATCATAAAACTGTCTGTTATGCCACATTCAAGCTATCAAAGATATATGCAGATTTTTTTTTATACATCAGGGGCTCAAATAACTGAAATCAGTTATCAAACACCACTAATTTTTTTGGGTGATAGTTTATTAGTTTTTATCAGGGCACTTCTTTTTTACTTGTTTTTCTTGAATTTAGGTCTTATGTCAAGAAATTAAGTACCACAAACTTACCTTTAATGGATAGAAGGTAGGATAGAAGGAAAATCATGAGTGTAACTGAATGTACAATAAATTTCAATTAATTTATTGATAAGCTAAAAGACACATGACAACTGCATTTTGTTGTTTATTTGTGTATTTGATGCACGATATAAATAAGAGGGAACAATGAAACGCTGTTTGTGACTTCCGTTCGGAACGTCAAGTCTGAGCAACCTGTGCGTCACACAGAAATGTTGCATTCAATGTATGTGGGAGTTATCAACATCATTAATACATATCATTAATACATGTGCTGGCCTGTTACTGCTTTGCAAAACAACTAAATGATTCCTCAGACTTGACTCAACTCTCTTATCGATGATTTTGGAATATTGAGTAACTAAGAATATATTTGCTGCTATTCGCTGTCAAAACAATTATTTATCTTAGGGTGAATAAACCACCTGAAAGTCAAGATCAAGGGTATTTTTTAATTGTCCATCGTCCATATTTCTCTTAAAAACGTTCAAAAAACACTGACTTTCCGTTAACTTGCTTAGGGGTTTGGTTTGAAGAATTTCCGACAGTAGCTGAATGCAGCACCGCTTGCTGCCATCCATGCATCCAGTCCTGTCTGTGGTACCTGCTGGCTACTTAACTTCGCTAGCAGCCTTACCTATCAGTCACTTCTGTTCAGGAATAATAAAATGAACGACAGACAAAATGATTCCCTTTCGTTTTCCGCTCGATGTGCAGATGCGTTTTAAGGAAAACATGGAGACCATCCATTTGGTTTTAGTATTTTAGCTGTTACAGCGTCTTGCTGAGTCCATTTTGCGTGTAACTGGAAGTGGAAAAGACAAAGAGAAAAGAGCTTTCCAATAGCTAGAATGGTTTGGGCCTAAAAAGAAGACAAGAGGTAAGGATGCTGAATGTCACAAAGGACGCTGTTTGGTGATTAGCTTTACTTGGTGGTTATCTGACATTTGGAGTGACTGTTAATTTAAATTTCCGCAGAAAATTTCAGTGGTTTCAGGGCTAGCTAGCCGCTAGCCTAGCCTCGAAACGCCACTAGCAGATTTGGCTAGCTAACATTATGCTAAAGCGAAGATGCAGGTAGTCCTGTAGGTAGCGAGTTAGCCATTTGCTAAATGGATAAACCTTGTAGCTACTTTTGAGTTCAGATGACAGCAAACTTGATTGATTGATGTACTGATAATATTGCTAAAATGTTAATTTTATCAGTGCGGAGGCTCTCCGTTCTCGAAAAGTAAGGCAAACGTAGTGATAGTGATCATGTTTTTGTTTCTGTAATGTTAGCTAACAGGTCATGACGTCTGATGTTTGTGTTTTCTCTGTTTAACCGTGGTTGACATAACATACACGCCTAAGTTTGCTAACTAGTACTAATTTATGTTATCGACAAGGAGATATTTATTTGGTAATAAGTGCGAATGGTAAACAGACGCTGCACACCGTTTGTTTATCGTGCATATGCAATTCAGCTTGGTGAATTAAACTCTTAAAGCAGGTCAATTTAAGTATGAGCGACAATTATTTTACTTGCTTGCAGTTTCTCTACCGTAAACAGTATTATTTCAATAATCCAGAGCCAAAAACAATCGTCAGTTTGTTCACAGTGACTAGCAGAAACTTTTGGTTTGTTGTCCTGCAACCTCCGCACATCGTATTCTGCATTTTTTATTCAAACGAGATTACTCTCAGTGCCACTCCTAGTTGTCCCAAGTTAAAATCCTAATGATTAACTTTAAAATTACTATTGCGTAGGAAGGCAGCACAATAGCCTGTGTGTCTAGCTTTGGTCTAGCAGAAGGACAGCTGATGTGCTTTTCTAGGAAGCCATTTTACGTGCCACAGTTGGGGGAAGGGCCAGAATATACATAATAAGTCCAGAGTAACTCTAAACAGTTATCATTAATGCAGGGGTACATCTAGCAGGGCACACTTGGCACATGGAGAGGAGGGCAGAGCAGAGCAATCAACTTGTTTATCTTGGTTGACACATCCTGGTGGGGGAGGCCTAAGGTCATGAACTCTTTTATGGCAGGTAGATGTGAACTGGCACAACAACTGTAGTCAGGTGGTAGATGGAGGTCTTAGGCTGTTTGAGTTGAGGGTGCAGTTGTTCATGAAGTTTAGTTTCATGTTTAATTAAGACAGTAAAAACACCTCCCTCCTCTTTGAGACAGTGACACTAACTGCTGTATTTACCAGATTCGGAAATTACTTTGCAAAAGAAATTGCCAAGTAAAAGAATTTCTGAATACACTTCATGGATATAAGTCAGTCTGAATAAGAAATGTATACTGGCTGTATAACATGCTTAGTATTCCAAGTTGCATTGTTGAAGCACATGTAAACAGCTTTACTGAGCTTTCCCAACATTTTGTGATACAGAAGGCAATCCAGCTGTTTGATGATAGATAGCATTTGAATCTACTCCCATGTATAGCAGTAAAATGAGCAGAATAAAACCCAATGCTTTTGGAAAACTTGCTTAAAAGGTGTATCATGATAGCAAAGCATCAGAAACTTCAGTTGAAATACTGAAGGAAAGCTGATGTTTATGTATTTAGAGCCATTTGCCTATGCTCAAGGGCTGGATGATATGACCGAAAATCAATAATTATAATAACTTTAACATTTCTGACTTGATATTGCATGAAAAGTTCCACATATGGTATTTTAAATTATTGTTAAAGTAATAACTCACCGTTTTGCAGTGCTACTTTTTATTTTAAGTGAAGATGTTGAAGCACCATGGGAATCTTAGGTAGACATATGAGACACAAACAAAATTAGGTGACTCCCAAATGTCAGTATACTTGAATATCAGGATCTTAATGAAATAGTTTTTAAGCAATCAAATTAGTAGGTTGTTTGTTGAAATACTGTTTATTATGAACAGTAATAAAAGTCTATTTTCACAACTAATGCAGTCCATGCAAACATGGTCAGTGTGTTATGGCAGATAAAAGGTTTCTACTGTCTGGCTTGTGCTCCCTGTGACGCAGTTCAGTGTGAAATCCTCTTCATTTCCTGTTTAGGTTTTGCTCTGTGGCTTTTAGTATAACTGTTTCCTCTGTAGCCAAGCAAAGGGCACAAGCACATGTTCAGCTGAGATGTTATGGTAACTTGTTTGTCCATTCCAGACAGTGGAGTGGGTGCCTGTTTTCTTTGGCTTTGACACATCTATTGTACATTTCTGTAGTAGTACAGTGTGATTTTTCAGGCTGAATATTTGGGAAATGAGCAATAGCTAGTTTCAGACTATTCAACAACAAATGACTGTACAAGAGAACTGCCCTCCCAAAACTGAGTAGCCCTTGTTTGAATTAACCTAAGTCTTAAGGTTGCTCCTTTATCTTGTCTCATCATCTTTCTCTTCAGCTCCCCTTGATAATGAAAGTGAATTTAATACATGAAGTCAAAAACGAATCATCGCAATCATATAGTTTGTTTATTGTACAGATGCTACTGCTTTTTACCCAAAGCAAGAGCTACTTGTGTCCTCAGCGAAGGCCTGTAAGTTTATAATCAAATCTTTTTTCCTTTCCTTTCCTTTACAAAGAGAAGCTTGCCGAAAGAAAGTTGTTTGAAGGCTCTTCCAGAGCCTGCCAGTTTAATTAGCCCGAATCTAATCAGACATCAGCAGCTCTTTCTTTTTTTTTTCTTTTTTTTTTTTTTTTTATCCCTCTGTACTGTTGCTCACGCAGCAGAAAAATATGCCATTCACTGTGTCCTGACCTCATGCATCTGTTCTTCAGCTTTTGTTCTCTAGGATGTGAGTTAAGCTCTCATGTGGCTATATAGTCCCGTGGAGGTGAAGCTCATTAAAGCCATTTCATTTCACAGATATGGCATAGATCCGTACTGTGTGATACTGATTTGTCATATTGGTTGGGAAATTGTAACATCAGTCATTGTTTGTTGTATCAGTGGTACTTAAGGTAAAACCGCAATGTAATTCATTGGCATAACGTTTGCAGGCAGTAAGAAATGTTGAATCAGTAACAAACAGTAAAAAAAAACTGAGACAATGAGATGCAGTTGATTAAAACAAACAGTTTCTTTGTAATAACTGATTCAAAAGACACTAATGTTGCTAACTTCGGCCACTTATGCAGTGGAAGTTATTTATCAATCATGCAGTTTAATTTTTCATCAGCTGGTGTCTTATTTCACATTCAAGTTTGGCCGCAGCATGTATCAAAGCGTCTGGGGACGCAGAGGTTTATTTTAGGTTCAGCGTAGTAAGCTATAGTTCAGCGTGTTTCTATTTGCAGACAGGCAGATACTCAGATACTAACAGTGTCAAATTTAGTCCAGACTGTTCTCAGAGCAAGATTGATATGGAAAACCATGGCACATTACAGAAATTCCTGTGAGTCCTAAATAAAGTTGGGGTAATGTTTGACCTTTATTGTTGCTATCGTATATGATAAATCTTGGTGCAGTATAAATTGGCATGATGCCTGCATTTTGAATGGCTTAGGTCATGTTTCAGCTGGGTAGTCGTAGTTTCCAGAAGGTAAAATAATCACAACTATGGAACGGGTAATTCATGTCTTGGTGAGTAATAGACTATTAAGTGGTGTGTTTCATGGAGAAAAGCGTTACTGCTTCAGGCTAAAAGACAGCCTGATACAACAAAGTTTAGGGTAGACCTGTGTGAATTAGCTAAGATGAATTTCAACTGTTAAGTGTTCTTTTAAATAATTTCCTTTTCACCCACATTAAAGATCAGTAATCAGTTAACGATTAGGAACATAAAGCCGACTTGTGCACAAAGGCTAGTTAAGTAGGTATCACTTGCACTACACCTTTTTATTAAACAAATGGTCAAACTAAATTCAAACAATAATAATACTTTTGTGCGTAAACTCTTTATGAGAGGGGACATCTTAGACTGCACATATATCAGTTGATATATTCTCATCAGATAATTACTGACATCTTGTCAGTCTGTTTTAGTAACATTTCAGCATCTTTTGTTCATGGTTCCTTGTTCTCTGCTTCACTCATCAAGTGTGGATAATTTCACAGTTTACTGCAAGAATTTTAACATGACATTGGTAAACATCTTCACAATTTTAGAACAATGGAGCTATTCCAAGAGCATGAAAGCCAATGTCATCTAAGTGCACTGAACTTGCTGGAGCATGCTGAGTTTAAACTGTACTTACATCACAGTATGTTGTATCAATATTGACTCAGGGCCAAGGGAGGGGTTGTGAATTGTTTAGAATCTTACAGTAGTCAAACGGATGAAGAGGATCATGCAAAAAAAAAACAGAAAGCCTCTTGACAAGCTTGATGTGCACTAGTGGTCGATCTATTAATTAATCTCCAATCCTAAATGGCAGTAAATCTAATATAAAGCCATTACTGGCTAGTGCTTAATGTATATTATGTTATGTTGTAATGTGCAGATTAAAACAACTACATATCAGCATTACATACTGGCAACCGGATGCCTGGCTCTCTAAATATCGGCATCAACTGTTGAAAATCCCATATTGGTCAACCACTTGTGTGCACATCGAAGGGCTTGAATGACGCTGGTTCTTTGGAAATGTAGCCAAGATAATTGATGGTTATGTGTCATGTTCCATGAACAATGTGGCAAAAAAGTTCACAAAAGTTCACATTGTGTTATTTGTGTCAAAGCTGCCGGGGAGAGCACTTTCTCTCTGAGCTCTGTTGATGATATTTTGAAGATTATTATTTTGATTTTACAGACTTGGCATGAAGACATCACTGCCAGAAAGGATTATATTGTCGTTTTTGAAAGATACAAGTATACATTAGTATCAGAGTTTTGTGTTCAATGAGAACAATACCTCTCACAGCTAAGTAAACAGGTTTGCTGGGTGTTGGATATGAAAATGCTCCGAA